GTGCCTCATCACTACGAATAATTGCTGCTTCTGGAGACGGCGTGGAACAGTCTGCATGGCGATCTCTATGGGAGAAACGTTACGTTCAGCAGCATCCCTCTTGTTTTGGTTGCTTGGGGTTAGGGTAATATAGGGGCCTTAGTAATTACCTATACTGTTTTGGGGTTCCTTATGACAATTACGCATAGTGTAATGGGCCCCCAGACCCTATTCCAATTATTAAGGCCGCGATATCCCTAAACCCTTATAGTATCCCTTAAAGGAGCCCTATTACGGGAGCCCTATCTCATAGTTCAGCGCATCGAGCCGGCCAAGACTTCGCACTCACTCAAATTGAACCCACGAGGTAAGACCGGTATGGGCCTCACATAGCCCGAAAGGACCGTACATCTCTTATAGTTTATAACGATGCGATATTGGATCTGCCCCTGAGCCCTAAGCCCTAAACCCTACTTATGATTAAGGCCCACGGTATTCCTAGAGACTACAATATCCCTTAAATTAAGGAATATACCTTAAACCATATAAGAGATCCTTCTTTAATTTAACTTTTATTCCGTAATTTGAAAGGATATCGGTTAGAAAGGGCCCCCAACCTGTAATAGTGACTACAAGGATTATACTAGGGCCCTATTATATTCCTATTATACCACCATTACAGGGTGAGGGCCCCTTCCAAGATATCGGAGTCTCTGGGTTCAACGAATTTTCGAGAGGTGCAGCAAGCCCTGGAAAGAAGTGGATTCGATGTCACAGTGGCGGAAGTGCGGAACAGCAGCTATGCCATCTGGCATTGTTTAGGGGTTCAGGGTCTCGGGCTTAGGGGTGTAGGGTGTGTCACAGTGCCACGGCGCGCCCCACCCATGGAGTGGTCGTGGGTCGCGCCGTCTTCGTAACGTGGAACCCACCCACAACCACCCGAAGCAGGACTAGAACGGGTTTTGTGTTCTGCTTCTTCTTATTCGAGTGCTGCACTAGCCGAAAAGACGTTGCAATGTTGCGGAACGTCAAAGGGACATCCGAGTGATGTAGTCACAAAAGAGCAGCGACGCCCTCGCTCGTCCTCGCCGGCCGCCAGAGTCGTCCGTCAGCCGTCGTCAGAGTCGTCCGTCAGGGCCCAGTGCCAAGCCTCCAGAAGTGGTCTGCAGCCGTCCGCTGTCCGTGCCAGTCCGGCCAAAAGTGCTGATCATCCAGTCGGCCGCCAGGGTTTTTTCGCCCGGCAGTCCGTGCCAGAATTGTCCAGCTTTGCCGCCAGACTCGCACTCCAAGCTCCTTGCCAGAGTCGGCCACTGTCCCCAAGCTCTTTCTAGGACGTCCCGTCACTGGGTCCCCCGCAGGGTCACCCCGCTGTCCCCGCCAGGGTCGCTTGGTCAGGGTCGCCGTCCCCGCCAAGGTCCTTACGCCGTCCTTGCCAGGGTCGTCCGCTGTCCCCGCCACGATCGCCCGCCGTCCCCGCCAGGGTCGTCCGCCGGCTGTTTTTGGCTTTTTTTGTTGCTGTCACTTTGCTGTCCTTGCCAAGTGCCCGCCAGAGACACCGTTAGGGTTGCCCGCCGTCCCCGCCAGGGTCGTCCGTCTGCCAAACTGTTTTTGGCTGGAGGGTCGTCTGCCAAGCTGTTTTTGGCCCTTTTGCTGTCACAGCAGAGTCGTCCGCCGTCCCTGCCAAAGTCGTCCGTCCACCAAGTCCCCGCCAGAGGACTCGCCATCCCCGCCAGGGTCGCTCGTCAAGCTCTTTCTACCAGGTCCCGTCCCCGCCAGGGTTCTCGCGCTGGGAGATAAGGCGCCATCCCCTCCACATTCGTCTGCCAAGCTGTTTTTGGCTTTTTCAGTCCCTGTCAGAGTCGCCAAGTCCCCGCCAGAGTCGTCGCCGTCCCCGCCAGGGTCGCCCGCCGTCCCCGCCAGGGTCGTCCGCCGTCCCCCTCCAGAGTCGTCTGCCAAGCTGTTTTTGGCCCTTTTGCTGTCACAGCAGAGTCGTCCGCCTCCCTGCCAAAGTCGTCCGTCCACCAAGTCCCCGCCAGAGGACTCGCCATCCCCGCCAGGGTCGCTCGTCAAGCTCTTTCTACCAGGTCCCGTCCCCCGCAGGGTCACCCGCCGTCCCGTCCGCCATCCCGTCCAGAGTCGTCTGCCAGGCTGTTTTTGGCTTTTTCAGTCCCTGTCAGAGTCGCCAAGTCCCCGCCAGAGTCGTCCGCCGTCCCCGCCAGGGTCGCCCGCCGTCCCCGCCAGGGTCGTCCCAAGCTGTTTTTGGCCTTTTTAGTTGCTGTCACAGCAGAGTCGTCCGCCATCCCCGCCAGGGTTGCCCGCCGTCCCCTCCAAGGTCGCCGCCGTCCCCGCCAAAGTCGTCCGTCCACCAAGTCCCGGCCAGGGTCGGCAGCCGTCCCCGCCAGGGGCTCGCCATCCCCGCCATGGTCGCTCGTCAAGCTCTTTCTACCAGGTCCCGTCCTCGCCAGGGTTCTCGTGCTGTCCAGAGTCGTCTGCCAAGCTCTTTTTCAATCCCTGTCAGAGTCGCCAAGTCCCCGCCAGAGTCGTCCGCCGTCCCCGCCAGGGTCGCCCGCCGTCCCCGCCAGGGTCGTCCGCCGTCCCCCTCCAGAGTCGTCTGCCAAGCTGTTTTTGGCCCTTTTGCTGTCACAGTAGAGTCGTCCGCCGTCCCCGCCAGGGTTGCCCGCCGTCCCCGCCAGGGTCGCGCGCCGTCCCGCCAAAGTCGTCCGTCCACCAAGTCCCCGCCAGGGTCGTCAGCCGTCCCCGCCAGAGTCGCCCGCCATACCCGCCAGGGTCGCTCGTCAAGCTCTTTCTACCAGGTCCCGTCCCCGCCAGGGTTCTCGCGCTGGGAGATAAGGGTACCCAATTTTACTATTGTGCCCCATGGCTAGCAGTGCCAAATCAGGTCTGGTAGACTCGATCTGCTTGGCCAAGCAAGCAGATCTCGAAGCGGTAGCGTTAAGTGGTACCGGCCGCCGCCGGGCGCGGGCGGCCAATGGTTTAGGGTCTGGGGTTTAGGGGTTGAGGATTTTGAGTTTTAGATGTCTTGGGAGTCTTTTAGTAACTTGAAGATTCGGCCATTCGGGCTTTGGGAGTTAATGCTTATGGTTGAGGATTCAGGGTTTAGGACCGTAAACCCCAAACCCTAAACCGTAAACCCTAAACCGTCGGCTCAACCTCTTAAACCCATGGGCTTAAAGCTAAGGCCGCGGGCCCTCCCCTGACGCAGGCGGTTTATCCCCTTATAGGAAATAGGGGACCCTAATATAGTGCCCTAAATAGAAGGATCCTTATTATAAGGACCCCAACTAAGGTACCCCTAATTCTCGGAAACTCCCATATAAATCCTAGAAGCCTAAACCCAAGACCCCAAAATTCTTAAACCCTGAACCCGAAACCCCTTATCCTTTTAAGGAAGACGGCAAGAAAGACTAGACACACAGGCCTTCGAGCCGAAACCTGAACTCTGAGCGCACAAGTGGCCCATTGCAAGGGGCAGTTTAGGGTTTTGGGGTTGGGGTTTAGGGTTTAGGTTTTAGGGTTTGGGGTTTGGGGTTTAGGGTTTAGGGTTTAGGGTTTAGGGTTTAGGGTTGGGTTTTAGGATGTGGGTAGTTGTCGAAATTAGGGTCCCTTTTTGGGTACCCTAAATATCAGGTGGCGTATTATAATAGGGACCCAAAAAGGGACCATGATTCTGACAACCACCCATGTATGGGTTTAGAGTTCAGGTTTTGAGGTGAAGCAGAAGTGGTTTGAGGTTTAGGGGCAAGGATATAGGGGTTTGGGATTTAGGATTTAAAGTGATGGGTTTCAGGGTTTAGGGTTGGTGGTGGAAGATGCGAAATCCTAAGCCAACCCGAAGTCTTAAAAGCTTACGGTTTAGGGTTTTGGGTCCAGGGTTTTGGAATGGAAAGAGAAGCAATCCTAGTTCGAAGAGAGCCTGCGCAAAGAACATAACGCTACTAAAGCCTCAACCCTTAAGCCCTACACCTAAGCCCGTTTTCTTCTTAAAACCGACGACTAGGAAAAAGGGCAACCTTTTCTGCTAAGGGGCTACTGGGGAACCGGTTGTAGGAACCTGATGAAGGAGCCCAGGTGCCTTTTGCCCCACACTAGTAGGATTCACATAAGGGTTTCCCGAAAAGAGGGGACCCTACTATAGTACCCTAAATAGTAGGATCCTGGTTAAAAGGACCCCAAGATAAGGTAACCCTCATCTTCGGAAACTTCTACAAAGACGCAAGGTTTCTTAATCACCCTGAACTGGAAGCCAGCCTCCCATGTTATTGTGCGCATCGCCTGACCTGTGACCTGTGGACTTCGAATTAGTTGCGGAGTGCGACCAGCTTTTAACGGTTCAGGGTTTAGCGTACAAGCCCGAGACCGATTGTGCAAATAGGAGAACCCACCTAGGTGCGTATATCCCAAGGTTCTATACGGGGCTGTAATAGAGGGGCCTTAATAATCCCCCGAGCCGAAGGTGTACTATGGGGGTCTGGACAGTTCGACCTTGGTTTTGGGGTACAGTATCTACAGTATGGGGGTGTTTGGAGTAACTGAATAATTAGACTAGGGTTTAGGGGAGTATCTTGTAACAAGAAGTTTTAGGGCAGTTTTTTAGAGGGAAGCTCTTTCTTTTGTTTCGACCTCGATATTGTCTATACTGCAACCCGAAACATCATCACCCATGGCAGGTTCAGGCTGGAGGGTTTTAGAGCATAATGTAAGACATGACTGAGGCACTAAAGCCCTAACAAGTATCACCCGAAAGAACCCCTATAGCATCCTATAAAGGAGACATGGGAAACCTCTATCACATCCTAAAGAACGATGTTTTCAACGATTTCTATGAAGCCTCAACACTCAACCCTAAACCCTAAGCCTAAGCCCTAAACCCTAAACCCAAAGCCCTGGGGTCGTTGCACTTTAAAAAAAACGTAAGCCCTGAACCCTATTATGGACCCCTTAAAGGAACCCATATAGATCCCTTTGAGGGGCGTTACAGCCCCTGAAGCGTTTTCAGTGAGGCTTTAGTACCAGTGGACGAGCGTCTCGGCGACATCTTCCGGGACCTCGACGAGGCCAATAAGTTTTTTTGTTAAATACAGGGGCTTCAATAATGATTATAAGAGGCTTCCTTTAAGGGATACTGTTTTGGCGGGTTCTTATCATAATTGTGGTGCAATATGAAAAGGCTTTCAAGGTTTGTCTAATTTAGTTGAGGGGTAAAGGAAGCGGCCCTGTACGGCCTTGTAGCTCTTTATGAGGGTTTGAAATCTTTCGAAGCAAGCGCCGAAAGGGTCGTTCTTTATCAGGGTTTGAAAAGGCTTGGAGCAAGCGCCGAAAGGCTTGAGGCCGCAACCCTAAACCCTGAGGCCGCATTTCCAAGGGTTGTGGCCTTCGGAGTTCGGGTTAGGGGCGATTTCCCCTCGGCCGACTTCGAGATCCAGGCTGCCGGCTGAAGCTTTTTTCTTTCAATCCTAGTTTGTTTTTCAATCCTAGTGTTTTTTCAGTCTTATTTTTTCAATCTTAGTTGTTTTTCAATCTTAGTTGTTTTTCCATCTCAGTTGTTTTTCCATCTCAGTTGTTTTTCAATCTTAGTTGTTTTTCAATCTTAGCGTCAGGGCGTAGGGTTGCTTTTGGTAGGGCTTTTGATCGGTTGAGGGTCTAGTGTCGGTCCCAGAGTCACAAACCCTCTTCCCGAACAGGGTCAAAGCAAGGATCCGAGTTAAAGACCCCAAATAAACCGTGCTAAAGGGAACTCCAGAAAGTTGGAATATGGATTAATGGTAGGATACCCCATAATTTACTTTTAAAGGGGTTACGATGGTGATATTCCAACTTTCTGGCTTCTACTGTACGGTGTTGTGTAGGGGCCTAAATAGTAGATACGATAGCTGGTAGAATGTGGCCCAAAAGCCTATTCCATTATGGCCCCCTATATCATAGAACCCTTACAGTAATACTTACAGAATCCTGAAAGGAACCGCTGCAGGAGCCCAATTCTAATTCTTAAGGTCCCTACTTTACAGTAGCCTTAGAGATCCCTTATAATCCCTAAACCCTAAACCCTAAACCCCTAAACCCCTTTGCAGGAGCCCAATTCTAGTTATTAAGGTCCCTACATCAGGCTTGAAGGCTTTGGGTTTCGGGTCCCACGGGAAGCATAAAGGGTTTAGGGTTTAGGGTTTAGGGTTTTAGGGTTTAGGGTTTAGGGTTTAGGGTTTAGGAATTTAATTCTTCATGGATCCCTAAACGCTGAACCCTAAACCCTTGATGAATGCGTCTTGCTCTGCAAGACTATTCTTCCAAAAGTTGAGTAAAAGCCTAGGCCCTAAATCGGAAACTGCATGCCAAAACCCCATAATCCCTCTAATCCTACGCCCTGAACCCTGAATGCCCTGCTTTGCCTGAGTGCCAGGCCACCGTCATATTGGAACCTGGTGGAGGGCATCCGACACAGGTCTGGCAGGGTTTGGGATTGGTTGCGGGTACCTAACCTGGGTTTGGAGTACCATACTTGAATACTTTTTTTGCTACCTGTTCCTTAAAGGAACCATTATGAAATAGAAGTCTATACTTTTTTCCTCCTTGGATACTTCAAAGTCCAGCTAGGGTTTTGTTTGAGGGTTCGGGTACAAGATGGATCTACACAGGTTAGGGTTGAGATTTTGGGCCCCTAAACCCTTAGCACTGGGTTTCGCGATTCTCGGGTTGACAGCTTGAGGGTTCAAGTCCAGTTGCTGCTAGGAGCCAGAAGAACTGATGCTTCTATTCCTACTGGTTCCTTGTTATAACTAGTTTATGCATTCCTTCTTCAAACAACATGTGCGAGTTATTAAGGAACCCATACTGTTGATGACGTAAATCCCGGATTACCTTTAAGGACCCGAAACTATGGGAAGTATGGTATATTCCTTATTATGGGTAATGCAGGATCTATATCCCTAAACCCTGAAACCCTATATATCCCGTAAAGGAACCCCTTAAGGTACCCGTATAGATCCCTTTAAAGGAACCCTAGGCTTTATGTCGGCAACTGTATGAAAGCTTCAGCTCTATACCCTGGTGAGTGTCCTGCAGATCCACTCTAGATAGGAGTTTCCGAAATTTAGGGGGTACCTTAGGGTTCCTTCGGAGGGTCGCCATTAGGGGTTTTGTAAGGGTTTCATCAAAGGGCTCAAAACGGGTGTAGAGTTTCCGAAAATTCGGGGTACTTTTCTGGGGGTCTATTAGGGTCCCCTATTTGGGGAAACTCCAAATGAACCCTGACGTTACCCTCTAAGCCCGCCCCAGGCTTATTCCAACCAACTTCAGCGAGGGACTTTTCTGACTACCACCGCTGTGGAAGGAGGTCTCAGGCACGCGCCTCCTTAAGCGTATCGGGTTTGTGTCAGAAGGCTTTCATGTGGTTTTGCAGGTCTTCGGTAATTCAAGCGTTCCTTTAAGGGGTATCAGGGCTCCTTTCATAGGGGGTCTGTAAGGGCTCCTTTGTGGGGCTTGGACAAGGGTTGAGGTTCAAAGCTGAGGGGTTCAGGCTCCAGGGGTTTGGAGTCCGGTTGGAGAAATGTAGGGGCCTCAACAATTACCAATACTATTTTGGGGGTTCCTTACCATCATTGTAGTATGATGGGCCCCAAAAGCCAATTCGAATTATTCAGGCCCCTATACTTGGGGTTCGGGTCTGGTTGGGAATTTAGGAAGAAGCAGGGTTCAGGGTTCAGCGTTTGCCCGTTTGTTTTCCGTCTCAAGAGGTGAGCAGAAAACCGATCTATCTAAACCCTAAGCCCGAAACCTTAAACCCTAAACCTTAAACTCTATAAGCCCGAAACACTGAACCCTACAAGCCCGAAACTCTAAATCCTAAACTTCAACCTTACTAAAACCCTCAACCCAAGCCATAAAGTTTGAAAGATGCCCTCTGAACCGAGACTCATGGGTTGGCATGGGGGCCCTGAGTGGTCAGTGATCGTATACTTACAGTCCCCTAGAGAATGGTCTTGGCAATATACCGGGACGCCCCGGCCAGCCCAAGAATCAAAAGCGCAAAAGGGTATCACAGGAGGGTAGAGTGGCAGGTTTTTCTGTCCCACTATAGCATATAATATGTCAGAGAAAGCCCGAATAAGGGTGGTCTTTTGGGACCAAATTCCACAATGATCGTATATATGGACCCTCTAATTTAGGTCCCAAAGATTATCTGAATGGGCGTTAGGTATTTGAAGTCCAAAAGCCCGAGAGCCTGAACGGAAGCTCGCGGCCTCTTACTACTTGCAGTCTTGCTATTGCTTAATTCTTTCCGCTTCTGGCAGAAAGACAAAGCCACCTGCAGAGGAGAACCCTAAACCCTAAACCCTTAAACCCTAAACCCTAAACGAGGAGAAGCCTCGACCTCCTGGAGCGTGCCGACGTCCCCAAGGCGCACAAAGTTGCAGGAGGTTTGTCTTTGCGGACTTTGCTTAAAGGCTCATGGGACTTAGTAAGTAAGGTTATAAGTAGGTTATAATTAGGATAACCCCACTTAGGGGACTTATAACCCCAATTATAACCTACTTAGTAAGTCCCATGATCCTTCAAGTGGGGGGGTTTTGAGTTTGGTGGTCTCGGCGATGCAGTGCCTCCCTTTGTGAAGGATGTGGGCGGGACCCTTGAAATCTAAACCCGAAACCCTTGAATACGTAAACCCTAAACCCTAAACCCCTAAACCCTAAACCCCTAAACCCCTAAAACCCCTAAACCCTAAACCCCTAAACCCCTAAACCCCTAAACCCTAAACCCCTAAACCCTAAACCCTAAACCCCCAAAAACCCTAAACCCCTAAACCCTAAACCCCTAAACCCTAAACCTCAAACCCCAATGGGGGGAGGGCTGGTGACTTCGTTGTTGCGGTTTTTTTTTGGGGGGGTTTCGGCCTCAGGAGTCCAGAGACTCAGGGGGCGGGGGGCTTTAGTGTTGGGTTTAGGGTTTAGGGTTTAGGGTTTAGGGTTTAGGGTTTAGGGTTTAGGGTTTAGGGTTTAGGGTTTAGGGTTTAGGGTTTAGGGTTTAGGGTTTAGGGTTTAGGGTTTAGGGTTTAGGGTTTAGGGTTTAGGGTTCTGTGGTGTTATTGGTTGGGTGTAGGGGGTTATTTCTTTTGAGGGGTTCGGGCTCAGTTTAGGGCGCGCCCTGGAGTTCCAGGTAGCAGAGCTTTGGATTTAGCCTCCATTTGACGACAGTCTAAACCCCAGACCGCCAACCCCAAAATCTGGAAACCCGTTTTTGCGTATCCAGCCAACCTCGCTGCCTGAGCGGAAGATGCGCCCCGTCAGGCAGCTCTGCATGAGGCGGCTCTAATTTACTAATGAAAGCTGCCGCTTCCGGATCCTGATCACATGCACAAAGTGTGGCGAAGGCACAGCTTCTCGCCCAGCTAGGGCTTCTTCTTGAAGCATGGCGTTGCGCTTTGCTTTGAAAACACAGAACGAGTTTGGCCTGCTGGCTACAGATGAGGAGACGGAAGCATCAGAGGAGGCTGGCACTGAAGAGGGTAGTTCGCAGGATCTGAATGGTACGGAAAAGGACGTTGCGGACGGAAATTCAGATCAAGCTTGCAGCGCGTAGTCCCAAACCCCCTCAGCAGCCCAAGCTTAACTTCTCCGCAGTTGACCACACCGCCAGATACCAGTACAATGAAAACTTCAGACAAATCCGTTTAGCATTGAGCCTGGTAGGCTTTAGGCTGCAGATGGCTGTTTTGTAGGCCCTGCCAAAGCCGTACTTTCGAGGCTCATGATGTCCGACACCCTCATCCTTTCATAAGTGGCCGGAATATGCGCACCTCAGGTTATGGTGTTTAGGATTCAGTCCCCGGAGAAGTCGAAGCCTGAACACACATTATCAAGTAACTATAACTATAAGGCCCCGATTGAAAGTACGTTCCTGGGGTGCTGAAGTCGATGGTATAGTGCAAGCCTGAATAGATTTGCTGGTCTTGGGGTTGCTGCGAAAATTTGTACCGTGTAGTACGCACGAAAAACCCAAACAAATGACAAAGATGCAATATCCGGAACCTTTCACCCTACAAGGAACCCCAGAGAATTGGAAGATGGATTTAGGATGATTAGGGCCGGGATGCCCTGTACCCTACGTCAAGGGCATGAGGAGAATGACGTTCCAATTTTCCGGCTTCTACTGTAATCCCTGGCCCTGGGCTAGCCAGGACGTCGCTCGCCTTAGCTGTCACGCAGCGCCGGGCACTCGGAAAGTCGATGGGGTAATACGGCACCCCTGTTGGGGGTCGTGGTGGGGTTCTTATGGTGATGGTTCGCATGTCTCACGAAACGTTTCTCTTAGATCTGAATTGCCTCTTTGCAGTGGCAGCAGGGACAAAGACAGAATTCCAGCGTGTCAGGGTTGTATCAGAAAGACTACAAGACGTGGTCTCCCTGCCTGTGGCCAAGACATGCCTCCTGCGGAACACTAGTGGAGAGAGGGTCATGATTTCAGCCAGCAGGCGACAAGCCTTGAAGCCCTACACTCCTTAATCTAGAACCTTAGGGCCCAAACCCTTCGCGATCTTCAGGCCGAAGCCCTTTAACCCTAAGCCCTGAAACCCCAAGTTGAGGGATTAAGAGTTTGTATTATCATTCTCTAACGGGTTTATAGGGCTCTATAAGAGCTTTGTTGGCTTCTACAATGGTGGTACAGGGGTGTCACAAGGGATTTGGAAGCAACCGCCTTGAAGACAGCAGACCCTGCGCAACTGCTGCCCTGGCTCCAAACGGTTTTCCGTATAAATCCAGAAACACCAAAAGCTTAGCCTAACGTTTAGAAACAAACCCTAAACCCTAGCCCCAACATCCAAACCCTTGCCTGGACCCCAACAGCATGCAGAATAGTACCCTTCTGTAGGTGTCGGGCCACTCACTACTTAAGCCCTACATTCCAAACAAACCCTAAACGCTGCATCCCCCCAAAGTCCCAACACCAACAACCCTCCTTCCCAGAGAACCCAATACCCCTTAATTGAGGAATATATCGTAAAACATAAAATCAAGCCAGCTATTATTTAGGGTATACTCTGGGTTGATTCTTGGCACAGAGCCACAGGCCGACCACGCAAAGCACTCGACATCATTTCCCAGCTGCCGGACAGAACGCAGCAGCTAGGGTTTAGAGTTTCGGGCTTTGGTCTAGAGTTAAGGGTTTACAGTTCAGGGCTTTGGGTTTAGAGTTTAGGGTTTAGCGTTTAGGGTTTAGGGTTTAGAGTTTAGGTCCTGCAAATACCGAAGTTTTATCTGGACTTATGGTCTGGTCGTCGTGCGAGATACAACGCGGGGTGTATTGAGATCCTAGTTCCCCTTAGTTAATGAATGGAGTTCCTATCGTTCCTACAAAGAGAAGGTTGTGGTAGTCGAAGTGGTATTGAAAACTCCAAACATTTAGGGTTTTGTGCAGGTTTGCTTACTGGCTGACTAATGTCTTCTAGGGCTTTATAGGGCTCTCAAGGATTGTACATGGCTTGCAGGAATGACACGGCGGCCAAGGTGGTTCCGGTTGGGGAGGCATTTCGGAGTTTCCGAAAATAGGGGTCCCTCATATAGTACCCTTGGTAGTAGGATCCTTATAATAAGGACCCCAATAAAAGGTACCCCTAAATTTTCGGAAACCCCCATTTGGGACTTGTGAAAGGTCTTACGGGGATTTGTTAGGTTCGGATGAGTTTGGATTCAGGTTCCCCGCAGAGCTAAGCAGCCCATCAGGAAGCAATAATCTCGCCTTTAGAGCTCGTTCCTAGGGTTTAGGCGCGGGTATGATCAATCTCGTTCGTAGACTGCTGTTTCGGGTCGTCACACAGGCGAAAGAGTACCCTCCTCTGCCTGAGGGCCGAGAACCTACAGTACTACAGTGCAGCAGAAGAACGATAATCAGAGAGGGGTGCCTGTGTACTCCATGTACGATAAGAGCGGGATTGTATCCTTTGACATGACTACATCCGGAACCCGAAACCCTAAACCTGCAAAGCAGCTTTGCAAGTATGGACGTTTCCGTACGATCCCGTGGTTTTCGGGTTTATATGGTCTTCAATTACTATCGTGCTGCTTGCTATAATCCTACTCTATGCCACTTCGTGTTCCTTACTGTAATTAGGGTTCCTGCTCTCCTTAAGGAAATTATCTTAGAATGATGCGAATGCAAGAACAAAAAGAATTGTGGAGTCCATGAACTTTCAGGACTTAAGACTACCCAGAACAGTCCGCAGGCCCCACCACTCCTGAGCCCAAAGGCCCTCAGACACTGAACCCTGAGATTAAGGGTTTACAGTAGAAGCCAGAAAGTTGGAATATCATTATCATAATCCCTTTAAGACTTTAAGGTAAACTATAGGGGATCCTGCCATTATTCCATATTCCAACTTTCTGGAGTTCCTTTTAGACTCTTTACATCTGTAGGTCTTACTTGCGTTTTTCGGGCTGTAGAGCGAAGAACACCCCAAAGCCCGAAACCCTAAACACCTGCCCGAAAGCCCAAGACCCTAAACCCTAAACGGGTTTAGCGCCTAAACCCTACACGCCCACCCTAAGGCCCCCAGAGACGTATAAAGTATTCTTACAGCCACATTCTTATCATGTTCTTAGTGTCGCTGTTCGTTCTTACAAGTTACGTATCATTGACTAATATGACCAGGAAAGGCCCCAAAGCCTGACCCTAAACCCCGCTCGAACCGGGCGTTGTGCCGCAGGCACAGCCGTAGGAGCTCCCCGCAAATGCTGCTTTTGCAGGCAGGCGCGGCAATTTCGCAGTCTTGCAAGAAGAGAAACGTCCTGAAGTCCAGGTGGCTACTTTTTCAAAAATAGCCACCTCGGCTTTAAGCCCTTTCCAGGGCTTCAAAGAGCCTTGAAGCCGATTTGCTTGGCCAGCGTGGGACTTCGTGCATGTCGGAGGATTTTGGTGATTTGTTCGTGGGAGGCTGATTTTGGCAGAATTTGTGCTCTATGAATTGGTGTGTTTTTTTGGATGCTCTGCGGGTATGAATGGGGTCTGATCTGGACGTTATCATGGTTGGGACATGGATGCTCTGCGTGCATGGATGGGGTCTGATCTGGACGTTATCATGGTTGGGACATGGATGCTCTGTGGGCATGGATGGGGTCTGATCTGGACGTTATCATGGTTGGGACATGGATGCTCTGTGGGCATGGATGGGGTCTGATCTGGACGTTATCATGGTTGGGACATGGATGCTCTGCGGGCATGGATGGGGTCTGATCTGGACGTTATCATGGTTGGGACATGGATGCTCTGCGGGCATGGATGGGGTCTGATCTGGACGTTATCATGGTTGGGACATGGATGCTCTGCGGGCATGGATGGGGTCTGATCTGGACGTTATCATGGTTGGGACATGGATGCTCTGCGGGCATGGATGGGGTCTGATCTGGACGTTATCATGGTTGGGACATGGATGCTCTGCGGGCATGGATGGGGTCTGATCTGGACGTTATCATGGTTGGGACATGGATGCTCTGCGGGCATGGATGGGGTCTGATCTGGACGTTATCATGGTTGGGACATGGCTGCTCTGCGGGCATGGATGGGGTCTGATCTGGACGTTATCATGGTTGGGACATGGATGCTCTGCGGGCATGGATGGGGTCTGATCTGGACGTTATCATGGTTGGGACATGGGTGCTCTGCGGGCATGGATGGGGTCTGATCTGGACGTTATCACGGTTGGGACATGGATGCTCTGCGGGATCGGATACTGGGCACCCGGATGGGGTCCGAGTGCGGCGTAACGGCTGGTTCGAGGGCTAAACCCTAAACCCTAAATCCTAAACCCTAAACCATAAACCCTAAATCCTAAACCCTAAGCCGTTTTTTAAAAAAAATTCCCTAAACCCTAAACCCTTCCCTGAAACTGAAACTCCTAGACCCTAAACTACCCAGGTTATCGCTCCCAAGCACGCGGAGAGGGAGGGTGGCAGGCGCCTGCGACATTGGATGTGGAGTTACTGGGGATTTCGGGCTTGGGGTGTCGGTGCTGTTTTTTTGGCTTAGGGGTTTAGGGTGTTACGGTTCAGCGTTCACGGTTATGCAAGAGGTTTGGAGTTTAGGGTTTGGGAGAGTTTAGGGTTTGGGGGTCTGCGGTGTAGCATTGCTACATTTTTTGTGACGATCACCTTTGGCGTTCTACTGAGTGTCTCACGAGGTATTTTCAGCGGAAGTTAATGCAGACCGCCACAGTCCTCTGTTTCAGCATGGGCTTCATTGAAGCTTTACATGCCAAAGTCCTTAAATGTGTCAAATCACCTCCTAGCTATGGGGTCCGGCCCATACTAACCCGAAACAAACTGGAAGAGGAGGTGGAGTTTGATTCTGGGGCATCGTGCCAAGCGCCGAGGTGAGGCGCTGCCCGCACGGTCCGTATTGCGCTCACAGAGAGCAAGGACAAGGAGTACCTCTGCAGCTTTGAGAAATGTGTCCACGAATACGAACCTTCCTGCCGTGCCGGACTTTGGGCTTCTGGTGCCACCCCGTGGCTGCAATTCCCCCCAAGTGCCGTCTCCAGCAGATCCGTGTTCGAACGTGTCCGTGGTTGTGTTTGAGCTTCTTCTGAAGCAACCCGTGCTCACAGGCCCATCTCCTGCCGAGATTGTGCCACCTCCAGCCACAGTGTCGCCATCGAAGGTGCCGCCATCACCCGATGTGATGAACTTGCAGCCCGGACATCGACCGCCTGCGGTGCCGCCTCCTTGCTGCCACACCGTGTGCAGTTGGAGCCCTCGAACCCTAAACCTAAATCCTAAACCCTAAACCCTCGACCCTAAACCCTATAAATCCTAAACCCTAAACCCCGTACATCCTAAACCCCTAAACCCTATAAATCCTAAACCCTAAACCCTCCGCCCTAAACCCTAAACCCTACTCTAATTTTCAAGGCTTCGAATTCGAGGGATCTTGGGACCCACTCCCATCCCCAAGCCTCGGTTGGCCACCTGGGCGTTCGTCGCGGTGTGATCTAGCATACAATGATCATAATAACAATAACAATAGTAATAGTAATAGTAATAGTAATAGTAATAGTAATAGTAATAGTAATAGTAATAGTAATAGTAATAGTAACAATATTAATAATGATACAATAAAATCATAATCTTTGTCATAGTTGGGTAACATTTTACATGTTTATGGGTACTAAACCCAACAAGGAATAAACTTAGAATTTTTCATCCAATCCCAACCATGATCTAGTAACAATAGCAACAATGATATGTCATAGTACATCATACAGAATGACGTTAGCTAATCTACGAGTAAGCATAGTAATGGTACATGTTGCATACTACGTACTACACAAGTATAACCGCAACAGCAATAATCACAAGAAGATTGATCCATCCCAAGGTTCGGGATTAGGGGCGACCAGCTGCTTCAATGGCCCGTAACCATAGGCCCTAATCCAGTAGGGTCCTCGAAACGTAGTATATACTCTTGATGATAGAAATCCTGCATTACCTTAAAAGCCTTAAACTATGGCAATTATGGTATATTCCTTATCACGGGTCATGCAGGATTTATATCATACTACGGTTGATGATATAAATCCTGCATTACCCCAAGGACCCTAAACTATGGGAATAATGGTCTGTTCCTTATTCTGGGTAATGCAGGATTTATATCATCAACCGTAGTCTTCAGGTTTCCCTACGAAGATAGCAGCATCAAATCCGCACCCTGCAAACACTATCGAATCATCCAGGCGCCCTGCACTTGGGGGGTCGGGAGACTTAGTAAGTAGACTTATAAGTACCCTAAAAGGGACCCTAAGTGGGGTTATGATACTTATAAGTCCCTAGAATAGCCAGTTACTAAGTCCCCCGACCCTCCAAGCATAATGGTCCTTGTTGACAGAACTCGTTGTGGTTGAACGGTTTCAACATGTTCCCAACCTGCAAACACTTCTGATTGTAGGAATCCGGTTATTGCCATCGATAAGTAAAGCTTACATGCTCCAGCAGAATCCTTACTGAGTTCTTTATACTTGGCTGGGGGTATATGCGCGGTAGCGCCTACTCCTTGCGAAGTACTTAGCTACTACTTCGCCTCAGCCGCTAAGCATTGGACTCTTTGGGCAGGATCGTGCCCATCACGGCGAACGTGACTCTGCCGCCTCAGGTGGACCCGGCACGAGAGAATGAGCTTCTTACAGACCTCCGTACCTGTGGCTCTCATCCCTGACCCTAATCAATGCTAAACCTTACAAGGGGCCCACAAAAGACCTAAACCCTGAACAATGAACCTTGCCCCTGAACCCTACTTAAGCCCTAGAATCTCGGCATACGCTGCTCCCTGAGCCCCATGATCCTTCGAGTTGAACCCGAAGTATGCCCCAGCTTACCATGAATGAGAACCTGGCTTTGGAGCACCATACTTGTATGTACACTTTCTATTGGAACTGTTCCTTCAAGGAACCATTAAGGTAACCATTACGAAGTCAAAGTGTCCCCTTGGTTACTTCAACGCCCAGTAGCTTGCCGTGGAGAAGAACCCAAGCCTTAAACCCTCAACCAGAAACCCTCCTTTCCCTTTGTGACAGAACTATGGGATTGATATTGGTCTCGTCGCTACCGGGCTCTTGCGAAGGAGTTTAATTAACTTAAAGTACCATAGTAAGGAAAAAGGCATCATTCGCTTCCCGTTAATCTTCCTTGCAGGAACTCAGTTATGTTTCCCTGCGCGCGGGAGCAAGGTCTCGAGCAAATATTCGAGGCCCCTCAGCGAGGATCCAAAGAGATGCAAACCCTCTGGGAGGACCTGTGCGCAGCATGTCGCTTCTATGGCCTGGATGCGAGCGATCTTCACTTCTTCGGTTCCCTGCCGTCTCTGATGCAGCCGCAGATCACACCCTCCAGGGGATTGGTTTCCTCGGAAGGATTCTGTCACGTTTCTCGGCAGGGTGCCGGCAAGGCATTGCATTTCGCGGCAGAGGGTTCCTTGGGTGGACCTGTCAATACAGTTACAGTACATGTCAGTGCAGGTAGAAGTAGATCCACCAGTGTCGGTGATGCGGCATGAGGCCGATGTGTTGTAGGTAACGTGGTTCCGGTTCATGTTTGAGAAACGTTTTCGTGCGAAGAACTGTTTTGTACAGATCTCGCAAGCACCCTAACCTCTAAAGGGTCTAGTGCATCGGGTTTTCACGAGCTCCGGCAGGACTTGAGAATCATGATACCCGGTATTTGAGATCCCTGCACTTCTGAACCTTTAACCCTGACTCCGAAAAACCGCTCTAGGTGAGGTTTGACCGTTTGTGTTTCGTTCGTTGGATTCAGGTGCGTTGAATAAGCACTTTAAACTCGAAGCCCTGAACCCTAAGCCCCCTGAAACCCGAGAGCCCTAACCTTAAACCCGAAAACCCTAGGGGTTTGGGGAAGCCCCCAAGGACTCAGCTCCTACAAAATCCTTCAGCTAAACCCTAACCCGTTAACACATCCCAAACCCAGACGCATGCCCCCTGAGCTGCTGTGACGTCTGACAGCAGGTAATCGATGATGAATCTGACGACGAGGACCGGACGGAAGGGTTTCCGGGTTGTTTCGGGGACTGTAGGATTTGGAGTTTGGGGTTTAGAGTTTAGGATTTAGGGGTTAAAAATTGGGGCAGACGGTTTTCAGGGTTGCTTCTGTGATTGTCGTAGGGCTGAGGTTCTTCCATAGTATCCTGCTACCCTTTGTTCATGCGAAATATAGGAAGAAGGGGAATGGCAACAGCAAGGCCTGCAATTGACGATCTCTAGTAGTTACAGCATGTTACAAAAGCGATCACCATGGTAGAAGCTTCCGTAGCGATTATTGCGATGAGCCTAAACAACACTGTCGTTCTCATCCGTTATAGTGACTTTCCCCAAGTATCTGTCATCATCGTCTCATCATGATCACCAGCACCACCACCAGCGACGTCATCATCATATCAGTAAGCGCTGCCCCTAGAGCCTCCTCGACCGTACAACTACAGCAGTAGAAGTCACCAAGACGGACAGAAGAATCGGATCTGTGCTCGGAGGTGTAGCGCGCTTAACGTACCCTGGAGAGTGGTGGTCAGGTCAACTGGTCTAGGGCTTAGGGTTTAGGAGTCAGGGCTTAGGGTTTCATGTGCTGAGAAGAACCAGGCAACCAGGCAGGTTGTTACTGGCGATGAGAGCAACCGCCGCATGAGTTTGGAGCAAAACGGGGAGAGCAATAACACCAGTCCCAACAATACCGGCCACCACAACCACCAAAACGCCGACAAAAACAGCAACGTCAACCGCAACTCAGCAACTCCAACGATACCACCACCACAACCACCACAACCACCACAACCACCACAACCACCACAACCACCACAACCACCACAACCACCACCACCACCACCACCACCACCACCACCACCACCACCACCACCACCACCACCACCACCACAACCACCACAACCACCACAACCACCACAACCACCACAACCACCACAACCACCACAACCACCACAACCACCACAACCACCACAACCACCACAACCACCACAACCACCACAACCACCACAACCACCACAACCACCACAACCACCATAACCACCACAACCACCACAACCACCACAACCACCACAACCACCACAGCCACACCAGCAACAACAAACGCAAGCAGGAGCACGAGCAGAAGCGCAAGCACACGCACAAGCGCAATGACAAAAGACGCACGAAAACTGACGTTAACAGTAACAACACGAGGACAACAACATCAACAAGGACAACAATGACAATAACAAGAACAATATCCGAAGAAAATGACAAGAACAAGAACCATATCAATAACAGCAACAGAAACAGCGCAGAAGCAGCAGCAGCAGCATCAGCAGCAACAGCAGCAGCAGCAGCAGCGTCACCGGCACCGGGACCGGCAAAGGCAGCGGCAGCGGCAGCGGCACCAGCACCAGCGACAGCAGCACAAGCCCAAGCGACAGCCACAACAACAACAACAACAACAACAACAACAACAACGACAAAAACAACATCAACATTAACCTTAACATTAACCTTAACCTTAACCTTGACCTTCGCCTTGACCTTAACCTTAATCTTAACCCTAACATTAACATTTAGATTAAGATTAAGATTAATATTGACCTTAACCTTAACCTTAACCTTAAACCTTATCCTTAACCTTAACCTTAACATTAACATTAACAGCAACAGCAGCAGCAACAATATCAGCAGCTGGTTCGTGGGTAATTGTTGTAGGGAATGGGGCTTGAGGGAGAACTTTCATGTTTTCAGTGTAAAACCCTTATAGCGTAGATCCCGTGAGATAAGCCTTCATAGAGCCCACGCAAAACGGAGACACAGTATAGAAACCTTCCAACTTATTGAACCAACATAAGCCTTAAACCGTCAACCGTCAACGCTGAACTTTAGCTATGGCCCGAATCTTACAGCATAACATAGTTGTGGCTGTTCAAGTAAACGGTTCAGGGTGTAGGCCATAGGCTCGTCATGACTGCGACCGTTTGAGCATAGGCTTTCACGCTTTTTTATGGTCGGTCACTGGAGCCACTGGCGACCCTTGAAAACGCAGGAGGATGACTACTTCGACGAGGGACGGCTGGCCCCACCTGAGGCGCAATGCTTCCGAAGAGCCCTAGACAAACATGTTTGGATTTCGCAGGTTAGCGCCCCAAGCCCTTAGCCCGAAGCCTTAAAGCCTCAGCCCTAAAACCTAACACCCAAACCCTAAACCCGCTCTCCGGTACTGACTGGGTTCAAGGCTGCAGGCGTTCGGGGCCTCGAACACCCCGACAGAGCAGGTTTGTCAGAGTTGAGGTAAACTCGAGTTTCCGGAGCCCTAAACCCTAAAGCTAGGGAAGTGATGTGCCATCTGCCATTTCGACGAGTATGCCTGCACAGATGGGGGTCAAGGGTTAGCATTTGGGCTTAGCATTTGCGGCTCCCATGCAAGCTTCGCTCTGCACGTTCAGCTCTCGCCGCAAGTCCACAACTGGCAGGACACGCCTCGCAGACTGTCAAACATGTCTGGTTGGGCATGTTCGGAGGCAAAAAGGATGGACCTTGGAGGTCGAAGGGCATCTGTGGCTCCCGGGCATTCAGATGAGACGATCAGAAGTCCCTGACAGGCAACTAACAAGCCTTCGGGCCTAAGTATAGAGGAGTACTTGACCCTCTACCACCGTGCGCCGGCACGACTCGGCGACCAGCGATTGCCACCGCGAAATCCTAAACACTGAATCAGGGTTTAGGCTGGGGGTTCAGGAGCCCTAGGTTTCGGCACCCACCCCAAAACGAAAAAAAGTAACCCAACCCCCGATACACGATGTTCCGTTCTTTAGGGTAAGCGAACTAAGGACATTTACTGTCAGTATGCAAAGCTTAGACCCTAAACCCTAAATTCTAACCCCAGGGCTCGGGTTACTTAAATAGTAGGTTCCTAGCCATATAATATGCAACCCGGTGACCCAGCAAGCCATTATTTGGTTGACTGGAGCCCTAGGTTTGTTTAACACAAACCCTAAACCCCTAAACCCCTTAAACCTCTCTTGCTTATTATAATTAAACCCCTAGGGACCTTCGTCGGCCAAGACCTAAAATTGGTCGGCCAAGGCCAAGAATTCGTCGGCCTAGGCCACAATTCGTCGGCCAAGGCCAAGCTTCGTCGGCCAAGGCCAAAATTCGTCGGCCAAGGCCAAAACGGCCAAGGCCAAAAAACCGTCGGCCAAGGCCAAGGCCAAAAATTCGTCGGCGCCAGTGCCAAGAATTCGTCCGCCAAGGCCAAGGCCAAAGCTTCGTCGGCCAAGGCCAAAATTCGTCGGCCAAGGCCAAAACGGCCAAGGCCAAAAAACCGTCGGCCAAGGCCATGGCCAAAAATTCGTCGGCGCCAGTGCCAAGAATTCGTCCGCCAAGGCCAAGGCCAAAGCTTCGTCGGCCAAGGCCAAAATTCGTCGGCCAAGGCCAAAACGGCCAAGGCCAAAAAACCGTCGGCCAAGGCCAAGGCCAAAAATTCGTCGGCGCCAGTGCCAAGAATTCGTCCGCCAAGGCCAAGGCCAAAGGTTCGTCGGCCAAGGCCAAAATTCGTCGGCCAAGGCCAAAACGGCCAAGGCCAAAAATTCGTTGGCCAAGGCCAAAGCCAAAATTCGTCGGTCGAGGCCAAACTTCGTCGGCCAAGGGTTGGTTTAGGGTTTCTTTGTAAGTATTTTAAGTCTCCGCTTAGTAGGATTCTTTCCGTTTAGGGTTCAATTTAGCGTTCCAATTATAGTTCGGTTTCCGTTTAGGATTCTTTCCGTTTAGGGTTGCGTATAGGGTTCCTTTTAAGTCTCCGCTTAGGGTTCTTTCCGTTTAGGGTTGGTTTAGGGTTTCCTTTTAGGGTTCTTCAGAGTTCCGTTTAAAAGTCCCGTTCAGAAGTCCGATTAGGGTTTCGTTTCAGGTTCCGGTAGTACGACCCCAAAGGAATAATCCGAACCCTAGATTAGCAGTTTCGGTTGAAAACAGTAATAATGCAAACCAAAATTTGTTGAATAGAAGCGGTTGAACCAACTACATAGTTTAAGTGTATTTCTTCATGATATGGGATATTCTGGGTGGGTGGGTGTTATATCGAAACCGTAAAAGCAACCTTACTGTAATACTGCTCGATCCGGGGCTGCTGAACCCTAAACCCTCAAACCCTAAACCCCCAAACCCTACGCCCTAAACCCCTAAACCCGAAACCCCAAACCCTTAAACCCGCACCTGAAGATTGAAAGCTTTGATTTCACTCCCCAGTGCTCCGGGTTTGCAAAATTTCCGGTTTCAGGTGGAGGAGTTGACTGGCTGAAGGTTGGGCCTCAAAAGGTAGGATGAAGGTAGGTGGGGTAATCCCAAACAATGATATCAGGGATTCTCAATCCTACCTGGCTTCGTCCCACCTTTTGCAGCTTCCCAGAAGGAGCTTAGATTTAAGGCCGTCGGGCGTAGGACGCTTTTCTTTGAAGGTTTAGGGTTCAGTCCTGGGATTTAGGATCGAGGTTTTGGGAAGAATTTTTTCTTTGGTGGGGGCCGGGGCCCGCCCATTTTTCTGCGGGAATGAGCAGGACTACCCGCCCTTGCCACGAGCTCCTCCTTTCGCGCCACCAGGACGGCGAGGGCTCGCAAAGAGTGCTTTGTTTCCCATCTCTTGAACCTTCCCAAGCGTAACCTTCACCAATCTATGTAGCGTTGAAGATGCTGGATTTTGGGGGTTCAGGTGCGATAAATCCTGACTCTTGATTTTTAAGCCCTGAAGCCCTAATGCCCCAAACTCTAAAGCAACTACCTACCTGAACCCTCAAGCCTTAAATCTCAAGCCCCTGAGCCCTGAGCAGGATTGTGCAAAGGGTGCAAAAGCAGCCATACTGAAACACCTTCTAGCCTCACGTATGGTACTTGTCCATGATCCTCCAAGTAAACCCTGAACATGAACGGCACGTGGCTGAGTTGTTTGGTACTATGCAACATAGTATAGCTCAGAACCTTGTACTAATTATCAAGACCAGTATATTAGTAGTCCCTATGTGGTTCGTAATATAATTCGTATATCTCAGAACCTTATGACAACCATTAAGACCCCGCTAAACCCTAATCCCTACACATGTCCCAGAACCATATTCCAATTGCTAAGCGTCGCAAGCCGAGCCCTCCGGATGTGACGTTCCCGTCGGAGTGCTGGGACGCGAATGGATGGACCGCTGCTGAGTGGGCACAATACATGAACGACGCTGCGCACGCATCGCATAAGTTACGACTTGCCGAGTGGCGTGCAGAGCAGGAGACTGGCCAGCCAATGATGGCACCCCCGGTTTCGGTGTCAGCGGAACTCGCCCTGTGGGTTCAAGCCCTGTGGGTTGAAGGTTGACACGGGACCCAGATATACCTTAGGGTTCCTTCAATGGATCTATACGGGATCTATAAGGTTCCTTTCAGGGATCTATGGGGTTTAGGGGACTCCAATTTCCCTTAATTAAGGAATATATCTTAAGTCATAACTATGGTCTCTATAATTGAAGGTTTCTTCCTTAATTAAGGGGTACTGGGTTCTCTGGGGGCCCGAAGTCACACTGCCCTGAGAAGTTTGAAGCACGACAATGCCACGACTACGCCTAAGAAGGAGCTGATGGTTCCTACTTCTTATTAGTGGGTGTTTACGGTTTAATGGAGTGGAGTTGAACGGCGGGGTGGGGGGGGGGTTGTGTAGACCGTGCACGGAAAAGTCTATGCTTGAAACATAAACCCTGTAAACCTCAAACCCTAGACCCTTTCCCGTCAGATCTCAGGCGAACCTAGGTCCCTGGGAGGAGTTTTAAAGGAGCAGTCCGATGTTGTGCTGCCAGTTTGGTAAATTCCCCAAACCCTCATTCTTCCTAGCAGTATTCTGTAGGGTTCCTGGGGAACCCTAATCTAATCCTAATCATTCAGGCTCGTATGTAAGTCCGAAATCCAAACCCTAAACCCTATTGGACCCTAAACCCTAAGCTAAGCTAAACCCCTAAACCCTAAACCCTAAACCCTAAACCCTAAACCCTAAACCCTAAACCCTAAACCCTAAACCCTAAACCCTAAACCCTAAACCCTAAGCCCCAAGCCCTGAAGCCCTAAGTCCCTAAACCCCAAGCCCTTACTCCCGCCGGAAGTCCTTAAATCCCACAAACCCCAACGAGCCCCGAAAGCCTAAAGCCATCTAAACCCTAAACCCGCTCCTTCCTCAGACCCTAAACCGTAGACCCTAAACCCTAAACCCGAGCCCTAAACCCTAAACCCTGGACCCTAAACCCTGAACCCTAAACCCTAAACCCTATAAGCTACGTTCCTTCCTCAAACCCCCGGGAGCCGAAGGGGCCGAAGCGGTTCCGGGTCCCAACGAAGAGTTCGAAGCGGAGACCCGGGGGGCAGGGAAGCATCGGGGCGTGAGGGGTTTACAGGGAGTTTCGTAGGGTTTCGTCGGGTTTCGTAGGGTTTCGTAGGGTTGCGCAGGGTTTCGTAGGGTTTGTAGGGTTTAGAGTGTATAGGATTAGGGTTTAGGGCTTTGGGTTTGGGTTTAGTAGGATCTGATGGCGTCCTTGCTTCACTCCTCCCCAAGAGCAAGACCAGGAACTCCAAGCCAAGCGCCGCACTCGAAAATGGGGGCCCGCTTAGTTAGTGTAGATTTGGGCGTTTTCGAGTTGAGACGGTACGTATAGCAGGAAACCTTCAGGAACACGAGAGCTTTGACTTCGGCCGCCATGCAACCAGCATAACCCCTAGCCCCTAAACCTGGGACCCTACAAAAAAGGTAGGTTTTGGTCGTTTAAGGTGTGGCTTACCTCAGGGTTTCTGGCGGGTGGAGACAGAGTTCCCAGGAGTTTTGGGAGACGGGGGATAGTTCTGCTCTGTCAGAGTTGGGTAACATTATACAACGTGTACTTAAACCCAATGAGAAATAGAACTTCAATTTTCTAATATTACACCAGCCTTGATCTAGTTTGAAGAGATCAGCAGCACTATATAACCCTGCCTCATGTAGCCTTATAGAAACTAGGGCGCCGAACCCTCATCACCAAATCTTACAGAACCCTTGTCAGATGATGCATCTAGTGGTAACGTCACCCCTGATCTCATATCCTGATTTTGGAGGACGTAGTAAGCGGGCTAGAATGGCAGGCATATTCATATTCACAGGGAAACTCCATCTAGTCTTCTTACAACACCACCCATGACTACTTCCAAACTCCGGCTGCAAGAGCCGTGCAGGCTTCAGGGTTTAGAACATGTAGCATGTCCACAGCTTCACATCCCACCCCACGCCCCTGCGCAGGAGCGAATGCCGTACGAGACCATGCAGGCAAGCTCCCAGAGTCAAACATTCCAAAAACAAGGAATACTGTCAACTTAGGGGTTTAGGGCTTATAAGGGTTGAGAGAATGAAAGGTTTCTTAATGAAGGGATATCCCTAGAGCATTGAACCCTGCAAAGTCTTGTGCGGACCCCGAAAACCTAAAACCTTTCCAGAGAATCCTGCCGCAAAGGATCCTAAGTTAAGGCGTCTTGGAGCTTGTGATTCACCAATGTTGAGATGGCCGTATGTTTCGAATCTCACTCTTGCTTGCTCGCCACCCACCCGCGACAGTCGGTACAATGTTATGTGCAGTTCATGCATGTGCAATTTATGTGCATCTGCAACGTGTGCATGCAAGTAAGTATGTATGTAAGCACTTTAAGTAAGTAAGTAGGCAAGTACAGCAAGTATGTATGTAAGCAAGCAATTATGTACATGCAAGCGTATGTTGGAAGAGTAAAGCCGCCTCCTCACCCCATAGCCCGAAAACCCAAGCCCCAAGCCCTAAACGCTGAGTCTCAAAGCAATCTCCGCGGCTCTCCTCAGGTTGACCACCCTGTGGATCCCGTGCAGCTCACGTCCTATGACAACGACTGGCTCGTAGAGCATCTAACACCCAGGCGCGTAGTATAGGGTTGCGAATGCGGAGGATTACTTGTAGGGTTTAGTGTAACTCCGGTGGTTCCTGATCATAAGTCTAGTAGAATATACATTATAGCCAATTATAGCCCTAATCTAGTGATCCAGGTCCCCTATTAGTACCGGGTCTTCTGGTCTAATGAACTTAGCAAGCATCCGAAATTTTTGTTCCGCGAACGATTGTTTTTTCTTGCGGTTTTCGACCCGCATTACAATGATCTATTGGTTGGTTCTTCATCGTGATAGCGACTCTGTTCTGCAGGATCGGTGCACGCCCGAGCGCTGCAAATGGAATCTGAAAACTATAAGCCCATCCGAGGCCGTAAACCTTACGCCTTACGCCTTAAACCCTGAATCCCACTACAAGCCTGAAGCTCTGCCGTAGTTGCATGAAGCTTTCAGGGACCAGTATAAAGAATCCAAAATTGTTTCTCCCCCCAGGCGACGGGACTTTACGCAATAGAGTGAATTACGGAATCTGCCGCTGAAGCCCGAGAACCTGACACCCTAAACATTGTCTTACAAACCACTTGGACCCAGAGTAGGCCCTTATTCGTTTTTTAGGGTCCAGATTCCCTTATGAGCCCCTTTCAACAAAAAAGGGCACCCTTTTTATTCCTAGGTTACTCTGAGTCTAGACCATGAAAGCCTCATCCGTAAACTCTACACCCTGAATTCTAGCCTGAAATAGAACCCCAACAGAACCTGAATAGATGTTTTCCATGTCAGGCTACGGGACTTTGACTTTCAACGCACTAAATCTTGAAAGGATAGAACCAGATCATAGAACCCTGATGAATATTGAATCATGTTTAGCCGCTTAGCCCTCTTTGCTCTTTCAGGCCTCGCTCAAATCTTCTAGAACCCTTCTAGAGCCATCATAGCATCAAATAGATCCCTTCTAACATAGAACCGGTACACACCTTCTGCCTTGTGCAAAGCCTAAGACCTAAAACATGCCAGGCTACGGGACTTTATCATTTCCCGATTCCAGCCGGATCTCATCACCGAGCCGAAGTTCGCTCCGGGGCTGTTTTTTGTTGTTTTTCTTTGGTTGGGTTTGGGTTTGGGCTTGGGGTTTGGGGTTTAGGGTTTAGGGTTTAGGGCTTGGGCTTGAGGTTTAGGGTTTAGGGCTTAGGATTTCGTTTTATACAGGCTTTAGGAGGCTCCTGTAAAGGTCCTATCAGGGGGTTCTAGAACGGCCTCAAACGTCCAGAATTTTGGGCTTGCGCTTTTGTTGGATTTTCTGAGGTGTCTGTAAGGGCTCCAGACGCGCTAAACCTAAATCCTAATCCCCAAAGTAGTTCCATCCTGCGACCCTATAGGATTATATATATATATATATATATATATATATATATATATATATATATATATGAGCCCCCCAAAACGAACTACTTTGGGGCCTTTGGGTAAACTACTCCCTAAACCCCATATAAGAGACAGACTAGGGGCAACCTCGCCAGTACACTTTAAAACAAAAACCCTATGCGGGGAAGCCCCAAAGTAGTTCCTTTTTGGGAGTATAGGATTCTATACCTGAACCCCTCAATAATCAGAATTTCTTACCTTTGGTTAGTAGGGAATGGAAGAATGGTAGTAATAGTAGTTATAATTGTACCCCATTCCTCCATTCCCTACTAACCAACGGTAAGGAGTTCAAGAGTCCAGGTTTTGTTTAGGGCTTAGGGTGTCGGGATGGGAGTTTAGGGTTTAGAGTTTACTAGGGCTTGGGGTAGAGTTCAAGAGTTTGAAAGCCATAGGGCTGTAGGTAAGGATTATGAATTTTGAATGATACTCTGAGAATATTTTTGGTGATTTTCTTCCGTATTTAAAGAGTTGCTTTGGAGTTTACAGCAGAAGCCCAAATGTTGGAAACCCAATAGCCTCAATTCTTGAGAGTAATGTAAAGGGAATCCCAGCACTATTTGGCCTTAATCGGGATTCCAGCTTTATGGGGTTTTACTGTAAAAGCCTTAGGGCTGTAGGTGTTTGGGCTTTAGGCTGTAGGCATGAGGGTTTTAGACTGTTCTGTGGTCGAAGTTGTTGAGCTGACCATACAATCTCACCTGAGTCCCAAAGCCACAACGTCTCGGGTTTGCACGATGCCTGAACCCTACTGTCATCACCACAGTACCTGAGGACCTTCATGGGATGTTGCCCGAACATCATTGTCGTCAGTCGAGGGCTTCAGTCGCAGTAGCAGGGGCGGTGCACAAGCTCCCAGAGCACCTTTGAAACTGCTGAGACCTCCAGAATTAGCGGCCGTTTGCAGTCCCCGCAGCAGCAGTTGCAGCTTCAGGAAGAGCAGGAGCAGCAGGCAGGCTTAGTGGAGGTGGTGGTGGAAATCCATGGTACATCTTCGCTGGTTCAGGATCCTGTTCCATGTACGTACTTTGGGCTTTGCATTGCGCCCTCTAAACCCTAAGCCCGTAAACCCTAAAGCCTAAACTCAACCTAAACCCCTAAAACCGAGGTTGCTTCCATAGGCAAGTACGTCAGCGCGAAGTATCTGCAGACATCTGGGAGCTTCGTCTCGGCGACACGGCTTCCGAAATACTTGAAAGTTCGAGGAATTGCGAATCAATCTGGCACCGTTTGGGCCCTTTAGCCAGTAAGACGCAGGTCGCAGTTCTTCCTCGGGTTGTATGAAAGTATGAAGGCGTGCCGGTACGAGGCTTCACGGCTTGTACTGCTGTTACAGCAGCCACCATGACAGACCCTTAATATAGCCATTGAATACCTATGATATAGCCCATTATAGGGTAGGGGTCCCCATTAAGGGTCCCTCCTTTTAGCTATGATTATCATGCTGGACCCTGACCCCTAAGCCGCCTCTCTCAGGTGCGGATTTGAGGTTTAGGGTTTAGGGTTTAGGGTTTAGGGTTAGGGTCTAGGTCTTGGAGCAAGATGAAGCCTTGGACTAGCTTTTTGGTGATTGATTCCGCTATTGGCCTCTAAACCCTGCCCTAAACCCGATCCCTAAACCCTAAACCCCAAAATGGCTTTAGAAACAACTCAGAGCTTCAGAACTGCAACCTCTACCAGGCGGACATTTTCCTCACCCAACATGAGCCAAAGTCTCCCGGAAGATCTTCTGTGAAGTGTGGCTGTGGTGGAGCAGTTGTTGATAGGGGCTTCATGTATCAGGGATGTGTATTTTGTTCCCTACCCCGAAGGAAAGGACCACATTCTAGCCTCCAGACCGACCTTCCAAACCCAGGCAGGCCCTTGCCAATATCAGGGTTTCGTTGATGGTAAAGAACAGCTGCAGGAAGCAACTCCCACAACTCAAACTCTAATCAGCCCTGTTGCGTCAACATGTCGCCTAACCTCCAAAGCCCACAAACCCTCCATCCCAGCAATCACTCCTAATCCGCAAACCCTATCAGAAGCCCTGTAGAGGCGCACATGAGATGCCATACCCTTACAGAACCGTTTTCAAGCCCTCAAAAACCATCAAGGCCCTTCTTGACTCCTTGTGATCCCCAAGCCGTAAACCCTAAGCCCCATAAGCTTCTAAATCACTGCACACCCTAAACCCTAAACCCCTAAACCCTGAACCTCCAAACCCCTAAACCCTCATAAGCCCTAAACCCTAAAGCCCTAAACCCCTAAACCTCTAAACCCGAAACCCTTAAACCCGGAGGTCCCACTACCCCTTAATTCAGGAATAACCTTTAAAGAATAGGGGACTTAATATTATGATGTCAGGGTTCCTTAATCCAGGGGTATTGGGATCTCTGGGAATCCAAAACCCTAAACCGTTAAACTCCCAAACCCCTAAACCCTAAACCCCTAGACCCCTAAACCCTAAACCCTATAAACCCTAAACCCTAAACCCTTAAATCCTAAAGCTCTAAACCAGGTGTTCATGCGTCCGCAGACCAGCCTGAGCTCGGATCCGAACACCACCATGTGCCTGGGGCTGCATCCCATCGAATGTGGGGGGCCCTTACTTAGAGGTCTCCTTAAAGGGATCTATAGAATCTATAGGGTTCCTTAATGGGATCTATGCTGTTTAGGGTTCAGGGTCTAAATATGGTAACTATACTTATAATAATCGTTTTCCCCCAGTTAAGGTACTTATAACTGTACTTACTAAGTCCCATGAACCTCCAAGTAATAATTAGAACAGGGTTCCTTTACAGGGGTCCATAAGGGCTACTCTAAGGGATCTATAAGGGTACCAAAAAATGCAAGGCCTTCATAATTAGAATAGGATTCTGGGCTCCCCTACAGTATACTTATAATAAAGAACCCTAAGGAATAGTATTGGTAGTTATTCAGGCTCCTAGTGGCTATTAGGATGTAGGGCCCAGGTTTTTGGGGTTTGGTGAATCCAGGGTTCAGGGTTCAATTTTAACTACTGAAGTTCCTACAATGAGACAGTGAACCAGGTTACTTGGGGGAGTAAGTAGTTAGTAAGTAGACTTATAAGTACCTCAAAAGGGAGCCTAATTGGGGTTATGGTACTTATAAGTCCCTAAAATAACCAGTTACTAAGTCCCCCGACCCTCCAAGTAGGGCATGGCCCATGTAGCTCCGGATAGAAACTCTGGGTTCTTGTGCAGTTCATATGCTACTTAAAGGGTCATGGGGCTTAGTAGCAAGGGTAATAATTAAGGTAACTATACTTATAATTACTTATAGCCCCAATTAAGGTACTTATAATCTCACTTACTGGGTCTGATTATCTTGGGGTTGTTAGGATTTAGGGTTCAGAGTTGTAGGGTCTAGAGTTTGGTATATTGGGGCTTTCCTTGAAGTCTAGGCTTCCGTTGTCTTAGCCAGGTTTCTATGCTTACCTTTGGTTAGGAGGGAAGGGAAGAATGGTAGTGATAGTAGTTATAGTAATAATAGTAATAATAGTCATACTAATAGTAACAATATTAGTAATAGCAGTTATAATTGTGCCTCATTCCTCCATTCCCTACTAACCAAAGGTTTCTATGTTACGCTGCTGTGAGGCCGGTTCACTACAACCTGCCCAAAGCCCAGATCGTCCTCTTCATGCGACAGGCCTGGGTTTAGGGTTCAAGTTTTGGGGTTTAGGGTTTAGGGTTCAGGGTTTAGGGTTTAGGGTGCAGGGTTTAGGGTTGAGGGTTCAGGGTTTAGGGTTCAGGGTTTAGGTTTTAGGGTTTAGGGTTTAGGGTATTTAGGGTTTAGTGTTTAGGGTTCAGGGTTTAGGGTTTCTCGGAGGTTTGTTGCTTCGAGGTTTAGGATTTGATTTAAGGGCTTGAAGCTTGGATTTAGGGCTCTGGTTTCAGGGTTTGGGGTATAAGGGCTGCGGGACCCTATGCTTATACTTTAAACACCGGCACCCCTAAACCTTACCGGTCAAGGGATCCGAAACCCTACCTCACTGACAGGACGTCCGACGAGCCCGTCTTGCGCAGTCTGCAAGATTTCTTGAACCCCAAAACCTTGTTGCTCTGTTAATGTTTCGCATACAGGAACTATCAGGGAGAAGAAGGGACAACGAAAAGACCTGACCATGAATTATACGGGTGCTTTTTCTTGAAAAGTGCAGGCACGCTGGCCTTGAAACCTTTTTCTACCCTTATAGACCCCCGTACAATTTTGCGGGTATTTTGGGCCTTGCGCCGTGACTCCAAACCCTCCATGTTGTAGCAGATAACTCCGCTCGTTTCAACTCTCGTGTGGATTTAGGGCTTCAGGCTTTCATGCAGAGACAGGGCCGCAACTTTCAGAACAGGATATGTGCCGGGTTTGGCATTTTTTGGGATAGGCCAGGGGGCATCAGGAAATGCTATTCCCACTGATTGCCACAGCCTGATTAGAGAATTTGCCATACTTCCGGTAGCCTACACATGGTACTGCAGGTCTGTCCACCAGCAACATCCCAACCCCGAAACCCCTAAACCCCTCAGCACCTGAACCCCGAAACCCGAAACATCAAACCTACAAAGGCTGAACCACTAACTAACCTTATTATAATCATAGCACAGTGGGCCCCCAAACCCTATTCTAACTATTAAGGCACCTATATTAACACACGTCGGATGGGTTCAAAAAGCAAAGCTTGGGGAGATCTTGGAGTCGTAATTTGGGTGCCTGAATAGCTAGAACAGGGTTTCAAGTTTGGGGCCATTTACTATATGTATATAAAGGCCCCCCCCAAAAAAAAATTGTATTGGTAATAATTTAGGCCCCTAGATTAACTCTAGCTGGGTGCAATCCAAGCTGCAGGAATTTCCCATCTTCTGCTCGATGTCAGCCGTTTCCTGGGGCTTTGGGGTATAGGCTTCATGGTCTAAGGCCCTGTACAGGGGTTTTGGGTGCATGTTGGCATGCGTACTATCTTTTTAGATTACGGAGATAGGCAGATTGAACAGATGTACCGCCATCACAGACATCGGTTCGTTTGATGGCACCTTGATGGTCCTAAACCTGAACCCTGGCAGGCAGAGACACACATTGAAGAACTCGAGCAGCACCAAGAGGCCCTGCGCCAGCGGAACGATGTTTTCGGCTTGCCTGGCCTTGCAACCTCTCGTAACTCCATAAACCACTCTACAGCCCAACCCCCATACAAATCCCTAAACCCTAAACCCTAAAACCATCTTGTTCCCTAGTTTCCCTTGTTGGGCGCCACTAGCTGGGAAGTTTCTGCAATTCTTTATCTAGGATGCCCAGTAGTACCCTTATTCCCTTTTTGTAGTCCTAGGTTCCTTATAAAGTTACCCAATACCAAAGAGAGAGGCCTTTTAATTCTTAGGTTACTGGGTATCCTAGTTATCGGGCTAGATCGCGAAGTTGAGCCTCCCAACCCAGGGAGCTCCAGGGCTTAAAGCTTGGGGACCGAATCCGCCCGATGCTTCATCTCTTAGGGGTACTTAAGTTTTTTTAAAAAATTTTTGGGTATTATAATCTCTAAGAAACAGCTAAAATTATGACTTTTGCTAGGGTTCTAAGTTCAGTATATCTCTGATCACTCCAATCCTGCAGGCTCGGACGCCCCGGGATCCTGATCCCCAAACGCCCCAAACCCTAAGCCCTAAACCCTGAGCCCTAAAGCCTCAACCCTGGACCCTGAACCCTCAACCTAAGCCCGAAACCCTAAGCAACCCAATTCGGAAGCCCCTGAAGCTTGCAACCTTGAATCATGGAGCCCCTAAGCCCGAAAGCCTGACAGAGTTCAGGGTTTAGGGTGACCCACAGGCTCCATAGTCGTTCCTTTTTGGGGTTCATAGTTGGGATCCTGTAAGATAATCCCCAAAAAGCTCTACTGCGGAGCCTGTGGGTAGGACCTAGGGAAACTCCTTGACTTGGAACCCAGCCCGCTGGAAACGTCAAGGTTCAGGGTCTAATGTCGGGGCCGAAATGATTACCAATACTGTTTTGGGCGTTCCTTGTAAGTATAGTAGAATGGGTCCTCAAAACCTTGTTTTGATTATTAGGGCCCCTACAGCAGGGTTTCAGGGAGCGAAGCCCTAAACTCCCTTCTGCAACTCAACAGATCCTTGTGATCCCTGCAGCCTTGAATGCGTCAGTATGCGAGCCACGGGCAAGCCCGAAAAAGAACCCATGTAGCCTAAGTCCCAGCCCTTTTATTCCAAGTTCTCAAAACCAAATCTCTACAAGTGCTAAAATGCTGAATCCACAAACCCTGGCAACCCTCTCATTAGTCCTCAAAAACCGAGAAGCCTTAAGCCCTAGCCTAAACCAAGCCGTAATAAACCCCACGCCCTAACCTGTAAACCCTGGACCCCAAACCCCTGAACATAAACCCCCAAACCCTGAACCCTCGCAAAGCCCTTATAGACCCCGTTACAGGAACGTTACTGCACCTCGAAAGGAACCCTAAACCCCGAAACCACAAAGCCTGAACGCCTAAATCCCGAATTCCTAAACCTTAAACCCAAAAACCCTAAACCCTGAAACCCTAAAACCCTAAAACCCTCAACCCTAAAGCCCCAAACCCCGAAACCCCTAAACCCCAATCGTTAAGAAGCCATGCCCTACTGGCCGGGCCATCTCAGCCGCTGCCTAATCACCCCAAACATCTCTCCGTACCGGAGACTTAGCAAACGTCGATATCCGGCGCCGAATCCTGGGCCAAACTCGCTGCCGGTTCCGCGGGAGGCCACTGGCAGAGGGGGCCTACAATGTCATATGGTATATTGCCAAGAAAGCTAGGATATCCAGGTCCAGGTAGCTGTTGACACCATGTTGCATGATTAGCGAGTATGCTGGGGTGCTCGTAGCTAAACAGCAGTCAAAACTTTATCGCTTGAAACATGGAAGGCAGCACGGCTGCATTATTTTGAACACTGAGTGGTTACGTCCCAAAGCCCTGAACAACAAGCTTCCAGGCGAAGAGGGGGCAGGTTGTGAAGTTGGCGATCAAGACGATGAAGGCCATGAAGGCCAAGAAGGCCAACAACTCCAAGAAGGCCAAGAACCCTGGCCATTGTGGACAGCAGTCGAAGAATAAGTCAAAGAAAGCCAAGGCTTCCCAACCCATGAAGTCGACTTCCCAGCCGATGAAGTCGACTTCCCAGCCGATGAAGTCCATTCAGCAGTCGAAGAATAAACCAAAGAAAGGAAAGACTTCCCAGCCGATGAAGTCCACTCAGGCTGTGAAACTGGGCTGTTCAGTATTTTATGATTTTTACTTTTTGAGATTTTGGAATCTCGTCATACCGTAATGACACCAAAAAAGTTATAGTTTCTTCTGTGCAAGGTGTTATTGAACAGCCTAGGACGGCATTGACACCCTTGGTCCCTGGAAGAATTGATTCCGCGAAGGCAGAGCTTTGGAAAGCTTCGTCACGCCTTTGAGGTGGGAAGAAGTTATGACTGGTGGGATGACTTGGTCTTGAAAGCAGGGGCCTTCACTGCCCGCGGCATATTTAGACCGGAAGCCCGGGAGCCATCGCCGCGCGCAAACGTGCCCAAAGCTTGGGTCATTCGACTCCCTTGCAGAAACTGCCCTTAAAGGGCGTTCTTTTTATCAAGGGGCCATGATAGGTCCTAGTATTTCTTGCGGTGACACGTACTGATCCAAGGGTAAAAGGAGGGACCCTTAATAAGCACCCCTAGGTATATACCCTTAATATAGCTATTATATACCCATCATGTAGCCCATTATAGGGTAGGGGTCCCCATTAAGGGTCCTTCCTTTTCCCCTTTGAGAATTATTGTGAGAGGAAAACAATCAACCTGGAGCTGAAGTTGGGATTTTGGGCTCGTGTTGCCAGGTCTTCAAATCTTGAAGCGTAGCCTTGCAAGCAGTTCTTGGTTTTGATGCCCTTAATCCAAACATGGGCTATAGTCTGAAATTTTTGAAGCAGGCTATATAGGGGACTCTCTCTCTCTCTCTCTCTCTCTCTATATATATATATATATAGGATTATGAGAAGGTTTACTACTCGTATTTATTAAACAGGATACTCGGAGTTTGGACTATAGCTCATATACCCCGTAGAGCCACGCACACACTCGTTTTGCAGCGGCCCCGCCACACGTACCCGATCTTGGGCTTGTGCTGGAGTTTTCGCAAGTTGTTGTTCGGGTCTCGGTGCTGTGAGGCATGTCTGGGTGTGCGACAGTGTCGCTGGCTTTCCGTTTATGAGGTTCTCAGTGCTTAATGTCTCTATAGTGCCCTTTAAAGGGGACCCTCTCGTAGAACCCTGTAGAACAAAACGTAATTTTGAAAGGAACTCTAGGAGTTCAAACCCCAAAGCCCCTAAATTCTAGGACTCTAGGATTTCAGACCCCAAAACCCCTAAACCCGAAACCCGAAGGCCCTACCCTGTAAAGGGATGCTAGGATCCCTTTAGAACCCTGAACCTACCGAGTACCTCCGAGCGTCTCTCCGGGCGCTGCGGGCGCTGCTCTCCACAGCCGCGGCCGGGTTCGGGGTTTCGGGGTTTGGGGTTTAGGGTTTAGGGTTCCGGGTTTCGGGGTTTGGGGTTTAGGGTTGCTTGGAGGGTCGGGGACTTAGTAACTGGTTATTTTGGGGACTTATAAGTAATTACCATAACCCCAATTAGGGTCCCTTTTAGGGTACTTGTAAGTCTACTTACTAACTACTTACTAAGTCCCCCGACCCCCCCCCAAGTGAGGGTTTAGGATAGGGTTCCTTTAAAGGAGTCTATAAGGGATCTATAAGGGTTACTATGAGGGATAGGGTTTAGGGTTTCGGGGTTCGGAGTTTAGGGTTGAGAGTTTCAGAGTTTAGGGTTTTAGGGTTTAGGGTTTAGGGTCTAGGGTTTAGGGATTTAGGGTTCAGGCTTTGGGGGTTTCGGGGTTTAGGGTTCCTTTCGAGGGTACTATCACAAGGGTTCCTTTACAGGGTCGACAAGGGTTTCACGAGGGTTTGGGGTTGGGGGAAGTTTTTGGATTTTTTAAGGCTTGGAGGGGTTAGGGATTTACATGAGTATGCAAGTCTTTGCTGAGTGCAAAGGCCCTCAACGACAAAGCATTTGGCCATGAACCTAAAATCTTAAACTGCAATTGTTCAGGGTTTTGGTTAGTGTAGACTCCACGCTAAAGGGAAAATCTAACCACAACCTCCAAAAAGATCCCTTAAGACCCAGAACGCCAAAGCCCCATGCCAGAAGCCGTGAGCCAATGCATCGTTTTCGGATCAGTGGACGTAGTAAGTAGGGTCAGAATTAGGGTCGTCAGTTTTGGGTTTCAGTCGCTTTTTGTTTAGGTTTCCAGCTTTTGAATGCGGATCCTAACAAAGGGATGCTGGTTCTCCCACTCCTCACAGGAAGCCAGGTAAAGTAACTGCACTGAAAGTTACCGTCTGACTCTCATCAGGGGTCAAGTAAGCCCTGCGGCCTTTTAAGGACTTATAAGTACCAGAACCCCAATTAGGGTCCCTTTAAGGGTACTTATAAGTCTACTTACTAAGTCCCCTAAAGACCCCCGAAGTAAGCCCTGCGGCCTACTAGGGTGGTTTGTCGGAGAATGACTTCGTGAACGTGCTCTTGCCTATGAACTATCACGCGTTCACAGAGGCCAGCATGTCCCGGTTCGCTCGTAGCAGGATGCAAAAGCCCCGCCCAAGACGCAACTCCAACTCACTGGTTAACGTCCCGACATCCGACATTGTGTTTTCGGGTCGAAGGCTCAGCGTTTGGATGTTTTGAGGCTTTACCGTGGAATATAGGATCTGCTCTATCACGTTCCGCACGACGTAAGCATGTCTTACACTAGTTGCAGACTTGATTGCAGTGGTATGGCGTGGTTGGTCAAACAGGACTGTCCTTCCGCTTGTTCCGCGTATGAGCTTCTCCAGATTGGGGTCTAAGGCCAAAGGCTTAGGTGCACCTTGGATCTGTTGCAGTGCGATGGCAAACTCCGTATATCAGTTATCAGTCATCCTAGTATCTCTGCCAAACCCTAAAGTGTGATGCAGTCCTACAGCCCAAGCCCACACCGAGTCAACATCATAAAGCTTGCCTATGACAAACCGAGCTCAGGGGGGCTATGCAGTTCGAGGTGCTTCGGGGTTCACAGGGTGCAGGGGGTCTGGGTCTCAGTGAAGCTTTAGGGCAAAGCCTTGTAATCGGGGCGTGAAACGGACGTCGAAAGCCACAAAATTCGCTCTCAAACTTCGTAATTACCTGCAAAGCACTTTCAAACAACCCTTGTAACAACTTTCCAAATCGTGAAAAGCACCATCCTCACTCCTAATAAACCATATCCCCTAAGCCTAAACCCTAAACCTAAACCCGAAACCCGGAACCATCAACGAAAACAATCAACTCAGCGGAGACCCAACAAGGCTCCGTTGCAGTATCCCTGGTAGAGCCCTTATACAGCCTACACAAAATCCTTAAAACAATCCTAAAGCCTACCCTCGGTCCCCAAAACCTTAAACCCCCCGTGTGGAACCGTCATAGAGCCTTTATGGAACTCTCTTGGAACTTTTATAGCCGCCCTATAGAACCTTTGTCGAATCCTCATATGGGTGGTTGTCTTATGGTCCCTTTTTGGGTACCCTAAATATTAGGTGCCGTGTTATATTATGGACCCAGAAAGGGACCCTAACACTGACAACCACTCACATAAATCCCATATAGATCCCTTTAAGGACCCCCTAAACCCTAAACCCTATATAGATCCCTTAAAGGAACCCCATAGGGCCCTTATAGATCCCTTAAAGGAACCCTATAGGGCCCTTATAGATCCCTTTAAAAAGAAACGCAAAGGCGGAGGGCTCCATGCTCGAAGCCGAGAAGCCGCTCCTGCGCCTCTCCTCGGGAAAGAACACGGCACCTCGGTTTTTTGTTTGGGGTTTAGGGTTTAGGATAGGGTTCCTTTAAAGGGGTCTATCAGGGATCTGTAAGACAGGTTTTAGGGTTTAGGGGCTTAGGGGCTAGGGATTTAGGGATAAAGGTTTCAGGGGTGTAGGGTCCCCTAAACCCAAGGCCCGAAACCCTAAGCCAGAAATCCCAAACCCTAGTAGCCCTGAACGTACGCGATGTGGACAAAACGGGTCAGGATTCACAGGGCCCGGATTCAGAGCCAGGGGGTCTTCGGAGGTCGACTCCTGTGCCTAGATCCCCAATACCCAACCTTTAAACTTTTGGGTTCTGATAGTTTAGTAGGAATCGGAAAGTTTGACCTTGTATTTCTATGGTTTATTGGGGGAGGAAGTGTGTCGGCTTTTACTGAAACCTCGTACCGAAGCCCTAAACCTGCGCGCGGGTCTTAGGAATGTAGTGTAGGGGCCTAATTAATGGCCTATACTATTTTGGGGTTCCTTTACAGTAAAATGGGCCCCCAAACCCTATGGTAATCATTAAGGCCCTATAGTAGGCTGAAGCCCCTAAACCTTTCGATTTCTCAAGTGGTATGTGTGGCGGGATCCAGCTTCTGACCTAGTTCTCTGGGCCTCTCAAGCCCTAAGCTTCAGGCCTGCCAAAACTCCAAGCCGCAAGCCTTGAGCCCATGCCAGCATGATCATCGTCGTCGTCATCATCCTCATCCTCATCCTCACCCTCATCACCACTACGCTCACCAGCACCAGCATCAGCCAACAGCTGCCAGCCACCAACCACCGGCCACCAGCACCACCGTGAGAACACTCATCACTCTCATCACCATGACCACCGTCATCGCCATCATCATCATCATCATCATCATCACCATCACTATCCGCATCACCATCGCATCATCACCATTATCATCATCATCTGCATCTGTTCTTCGTCCTCATCTTCAATATCATCAGCAAGATTTGCAATATCATCATCGTAATCATCACCATCATCTTCACCACGATGGTCATCATCGTCGCCATCACCATCGTGTGCATCGTCGTCGCCATCCTGGTCATCCGCATGTTCATCGTCGTCGTGATCGCCGTGGCCGTCGCTGTCTTCATCGCTCTCGTCGTCATCATCATCATTATCACCAACCACAAATTCAACAACATGAACAAGAACATCAGCATCGGCCGCCGCAGCAGCAGCACCACCACCACCGGCATCATCACCAGACTGGGGAGTGGCATCGTGACCATGAGCATCGTTAGCATGATCGCCATTGTCATAGCCGCTACCCACAGCTTCGTTGGGTGCATCGCTCACAGATTCCTTGCTTGACCCCTCAGTTGTCACGACAACGTTTGTCGAGCTCGTAGAGCACCTTTATCCTGTGCAGACGGAAGCAATATAGAAGCCTGGACTGCTTTGAATACTGTTCCTTGTTAGGGTTCCCCATCAGGATTATAGTTTACTATGCCCCAGAACCAAATTGAACAGATTTTTGAAACATAGATTAACCAACGTCTAAAAGATTGAAGCTTCTATCACCAGGTGTTTCGAAGGTTGGAACAGCTTTACAACCCGAAATACCCAAACCGAAGACCCAGAAAAGAAGGCTAAGGCAGTACACCGAACGACTGGACCTCCAACCCTGAACGATGGAAAAGGCTCTCAAGCTTTCGTTGGTGATGCAAGGTAATCATCATCGACACGTGCGGAGCTCGGCAAAGCTCAACCTTCACGACATTAGAACACAAGGCCTCACCACCACAACCTGAAGCACCAGCATGACACCAAAGACGACGACGACGACGGCGACGATTGCTCTGTTGCACTGCGACTGTTTCTGTTTCGGACGAGGGGTACCTTCTTTGGATAGGGTTACAATATCGCAGAACATGAGCTGTGGGGAAGCATCGGAGCACCCAGCATCACACGTTGGTATACAGGTCTGAAATTTGGAAATCTTGTTCCCTTGTAGTCCCCAGACATGCATGCCGCAATATGCCCCAAATGTCGAGTGTGCCCATTCGAGCCCCTGCAGTACATCCTGATACTTCAACCCTTAAGCCCTGAACCCTGCACCTCTTAATTATTAGTCTTGGAAGGATGTAAGGCATACGGATTCCGGGAATTGCCGAAGTCTCCAGCAAGCCCATGATGAGGTGCCGTTCATGAAGTCATTGTAAGCGTCGGAATAGTTAGCGCTAGCAATGTTATTCATCATTTGTCCAAATTTTCTAGAGTGCTTCTCAGTATAGTTCAAAATTCTGCAATGCTACGAACGAGGGCTCCCATACGAAACGCTGCAAATACCCTTAAACAAATCCCAGAAATCCTTCTAGAACCAATAGCCTACTGAGGCCCCTGCTTAGGGTTAGTAGGGTGTTTTGCGCCTAGATTGTTCGGTGCCCTTTTCACATACTGTGGCACACCGCCAAACCTTATTCCAATTACATGGTAGATCACCGTAACTTCTGTCCAAGGGTAAAAGGAGGGACCCTTAATGAGGACCCCTACGTATAGAACCTCAACTTGCCCATTATAGGGCAGGGGTCCCCATTAAGGGTCCCTCCTTTTCCCCTTTGATTCTGGGGTTCCAGTATCTGGCCTGCGCTGAGGGCTGCCTTATTAGAGCGATGCGCGGCTCTATGAGGGCTTAACGCTAATGTAGGAACCTGGGGCCTCTCTTAGGGTTCCTTTAAGGGGTTATATACTATAAGGGATCTATGATAAGGGTACTGTAGTAATGTAGGAACCTGAGTAAGAAACCCTGGGCCTCTAATCCCATATGTAGTAGGATTCATATGAGGAACCCCTAGTAAAGGCCCAAGGTTTCTGAATCAGGTTCCTACATTACTATAGTACCCTTGTTATAGATCCTTATAGTAACCAGTATAGACCCCTTTCAAGGAACCCTAAGAAAGGCCCAAGGTTTCTTAATCAGGTTCCTACATTACTATAGTACGCTTATTATAGATCCCTTATGGTAACCCTTATAGACCCCGTTAAAGGAACCCAAATAAAGGCCCGAGGTTTCTTAATCAGGTCCCTACATGAAGCCCTAAACCCTAAAACCCTAAACCCGAAATAGAGCCCTGATAGATCCCTTTAAGGATCCCTTTTCTTAATCAGGTTCCTACATTAGAAGTTTTATGGGGACTGGTTCGGCCTGGCGGCTTGGGGGGAATGGCTGGGGCGCTTTGTAAGGAGGGACCCTTAATGGGGACCCCTACCCTGTAATGGGCTATATAATGGGTATATGATGGCTATATTAAGGGTATATACCTAGGCGTCCTTATTAAGGGTCCCTCCTTTTACCCTGCTCTTGGGTACGGCCCCCACTCAGTAATAGTTGAGTAATATTCATAGTATAGATAATATTAGGAGCTTTTGGGCCACTCTTGGGCTGCAGGAGGAGGCCCAAGACGGACGGGTTTAGGGTTTAGGATTTTGTGGGTTCGGGGTTGCGGGGTTAAAGTTATATAAGGGTTTCGGGAGGAGTCTGAGCATCCACGTAGATCCTCTGCAACCCCAAGCTGCCCAAGCTCTATGTAAGCTTCAGTTTGATGCCTCCACGCCAAAAGCCTACAGCTCTGCACAGTCCCATTCACTTCAAAACTTCACTAAACCCTGAACCCTAAACCCTCAACCCTCAAACCCTAAACCCTGAACCCTCAAACCCTGAACCCTAAACCCTAAACCCTCAAACCCTGAACCCTAAACCCTAAACCCTCAAACCCTAAACCCTAAACCCTAAGCCCTAAACCCTAAACCCTGAGCCGTTCAGTCGAGGTCTGGGGCCGTTGCAGAGCACCTTCCCTACGTCAAGGCTCGAGACTAAAGCCTTCCACTCCCTGGTGCTTAGTAGCGGATGGGGGGATGGATCCCTACAGCAGTCCCTATATACCCCCCAATAGTCCCCATAACCCCTTCCCCAATTCCCTACTAAGAACCAGACGGTCGACTGACAGTCAATATTTAGGTCATAGGGTTTACTTGGAGGGTCGGGGGACTTAGTAACTGGTTATTTTAGGGACTTATAAGTACCATAACCCCAATTAGGGTCCCTTTTAGGGTACTTATAAGTCTACTTACTAACTACTTACTAAGTCCCCCGACCCCCCAAGTAGGGTTCAGGACCATTCGGAGAGAAGGAGCAGCACAGGTCTTTACTCACAGTTCACGTGCTGACCCGTCTTAGGGTTTTTGGGGTTTTGTTACTGGGCTCTCCCTCGGAATTTGCCCGGTGCTTGCTACTTTCGATGTAAGCCCAAGGATGAGCAAACATGTCGTCATTATCGTTCGAAGGGGCCTATCATGGCCTATCTATATCCCCCCCCAATAGAAATTAGGCAAACTAGTGGCCGCAAGCCTCTAAAAGGCCACTATTCTGCATACTTCTGGGGGTCCAGAGTCCAGGTATACCCATAGGCCGCATAGTAGTTCCTTTTTGGGATTACCTTATGATTGACATCAGCTCAGTTGCGCTGTAGGGGTTCAGACTTTGCTCCTCTCTCATGGTGCGCTTCAGTGTACAGGGTTTACCTTGAGGCTCATACCCTACCCCTTTTTTAGGATACCTAGTCTTATGGTTAGGATCTGTTATCTTGGAAAGTAGGCGCCCTAAAAAAGGGGTAGGGTACGAGCCTCTAGGTAGTGTAGAGGGTTTAGCACCCTAGAAGATTTCTTTTTCCCCCTTTGCCTTGCTTCGGGTGGTTTTTTCATGTCTGCAGGAAACAGAAACATGAGCAGATTGGCCCGAAACTCTAAGCCTCCAGCCAAGAATCGAAGCCCCTCGGATGATTTTGGTTTTGAATGGGCTTAGAGGGCTATGTGGTGTGTCTTGTGACGATCCAAGAAGTGTTGCTTAGTTGAGGGCTATTGGGCTCTTTTGGAATCCTTTCCGCAACTGATCTTGTACGCGGAAGACGAAACTGCAAGCTACATTCGTGCTTGTGCTTGTTGAAACGGGAAGTACACGAGTCCGGATGAATGCTAACGCAGATCCAAATTGAAGAGACCCCCTTCTTCAAATGCGAGGGTTTAGGTGTAGGATCCGGATTCCAATCTGTCCAACCCAGTCCCCATAAGACCATGAAAGAAGCCTTTTCATTTTCCTTTCAGAACACGATCAAGGCAAGCCACCCTGAATCCTTTACGAAGCTTTATGGACCCATGAAACGAACATTCAAAGAACCAATTGAAGCATACACTCCTCACTCCTCACTCTTCCTCGACCCAGGCGGCCATCAAGCGGACCTTGCATGCCCACATGTGTGGCAAGGTGCGGCAAACTTGGGCTTGAGGTTCAGGGTGTGGGGTGCAGGTGTCAAGGACGCCTCCGCACTCCTTTTAGCTCGTGTGAGCCCGAATTTCACAAATTAACTGCAGACCTACACGAACTTACCTAGGAGCAAGGATACGTGGTCATGTAATGTAGGGAGAGTGTAAGATAGCCGAACACCACACCTTGTCCACCAAACTGAGTCAAGTCTCGCCGCGATTGAAGCATTGTTTAGTGCTTCAGCTGCTCGTGGGTAGTACATCTTCCCATATAAAGTAAGCTCCCCTCTACATGCAGATGACTTGCATAATTTGGGTTGCGGCATCTACAATAATTTTCCGCGCAGTGGGGAGCCTATGGCTGGCGGGACTTCCGGCGTTTAGGGTTTAGGGTTTAGGGTTTAGGGTTTAGTTGCATCAAGGTTCTGAGTGCGCCCTCGAGGCATTTTGCGGTTTGCCACCAGGCGGACCGTGGCTCATGATCCCGACAGTCCACATCGCACGCTCACAGACTCCAGTATCCCTTAATTAAGGAATATTCTTTAAATTATAGTAGGATCCCTAATCTGATTTAAGGTATATTCCTTAATTAAGGGATATTGGAGTCTCTGGGCGATGGGTGGCCCAGGCTCCTAACTCCGAAGGCGGCTCTGGGATGTCCTCACGGACTTCTTCTGTAAGCTGCCATCCTGGCTGACCAGGGTGGAGACACAGAGAGTGTGTTTAAGGAGGCATTTTAAACTTTTGCGAGAGTGCGGCCAGATGGAAGAAGTTGCAGTATTCATAGAGTAGTAGCCGCAGCTGTAGCGATAGCGGTAGTAGCGGTAGTAGCAGTAGCGGTAGGGGTAGTAGTAGCGGTAGTAGTAGCGGTAGTAGCAGTGGGAGTAGGGTGGGTGGACAGGTGACATGTTCGTTTGACTTTGACTGCATTTGTAGTCTAATACGAGATGGATCACATTCGCCATAGTCTATACGGATTTTGCTGCTACCAAAGTCTCCTACACTGTATTACTACAGTTTCGAGGCTCCGAACGCGGAATCCTCGAGTTTAAATCCCTAGGCCCCTGCAAGCCTTATGTGCAAACAATGCTCTGACTCTCAAACTGCAACCCCACGCCGGTGGCAACCCTAAACCCGACACCTAAACCGCCCGAAACCCCTACTACAACCCCAAATGTTAATCCCACACCCGACATCCCGGTGAAGCCCCTAACTCTCAACCTAGACCCAGAACCCTACAAGCCTTACCTGGATCCTCAATGGAGGCCTTATGACCCTTAATAGTAGCTGTTGGGGGTTTGGTACGGGGGTCGGGGTGTCTTGGATAGGAGTACAATCGAAAGGTATGCCCTGCCAGCTTATCTCATTTCTGGGCATGTTATTTAGTTTACCACAGTGGGGATCTAATGTAAACAATTCGGTTTCCTTGTTGTGGTAACTAAAGAGAAACTCCCGGACACCCTAAAGCCTAAACCCGAAACCCACACCCCAAAACCTTAAAGAACCCTAAACCCTAAACCCCAAAACCTTTGAAGAACCTTAAACCCTTAAGCCCCTAAAGAACCCTAAAACCCTAAGCCCCTAAACCCCATCGCAGGAAACTCGAAACCCGAAACACCAAACCCTAACTAAACCCCAAACCCCTCAAGAACCCTAAACCCCTAAAGAACCCTAAACCCCTAAACCCCTAAACCCCCATGAACCCCCAAACTGCATCGCAGGAAGCCCGAAACCCCAAACCCTAAAGAACCCAGTTTAGCATCACCCTAAACCCTATAGTAAAAGCCAGAAAGTTGGAATATGATAATCCTAAACCCTTTATGGTAAATCATAGGGTATCCTACCCTGAAACCATATTCCAACTTTCTGGAGTTCCCTGTAAACCCTTAAACCCCTAAAGAACCCTGAACCCTTAAACCGCATCGCAGGAAACCTTTCAACTCATCCGCTTCACGAAGACGGGAGAGCCCCGGCTCTGGGCGCAGGACATGATGGCGCGGGGCTCAGACTCCCAGAACAGGGTTTAGGGTTTAGGGCCTATGCCCTGACCCTAAGCCCTAAAACACTCCAAACTCCCCAAACCCTAAACCCTAAACCCTAAACCCTAAACCCTAAACCCTGACCCTAAGCCCTAAAACACTCCAAACCCATAACCCCATTAATTCTAAACCCCGAAGGCTTAAGAATTTAGGGCTGTGGGGTGTTGGGGGTTTGCGGAACTATGATTTTTGTAGTAGAATGGGTGGCTTTTATGTTTGGTGTAGTAAGACCCCTACATCTTTCCACGGGTTAGCATTAGTTCCCTTTGAAACAGGACAAGCCAGATTGAGTGACAGCCCCTGCTAATATAGGCATCGGGATGATGAATCAATAAAGCTATCCCTCGTTCCACCTAACTAACGGTAGCTATGCAAGAGTTTCCTCCAAACAGCTTAATTATTGAGGCCCGAGTCTTGCCCCCCGTCCAGTACAAATTGTTCATGTTTTGTTCTAGGGTTCCATCGGGCTCATACAGTTTAACGAATAGAGATTTCTAGCGGTTGGTAGGGGGTTTTCTTAGGCAGCCTTAAGTAGGGGTCCTATTTGTGTGTTTTTTGCTTGGATGTATTTGGAGGGTCTTGGGACTTAGTAAGTAGATATTTCAGAGACTTATAAGTATCATAGCCCCAATCAGGATCCCTCTGAGGGTACCCAAAAGTCTACTCACTACGTATCTACTAAACCCACCAACCCCCCAAGTAGAGTTCTGAAGGGGTTGGGGCCAGGGAACCCAATACCCCTCAATTAAGGAATATACCTCAAATTATAGAGGCCTCAATATTACGATTTAACGTACATTCCTTTATGAAGGGGTATTGGGATCTCCTGGGTAGGGTCACCCCAAGCTCCAAGCCCCAAGCAGCCTAAGCCTTCGGCATGTCCACGTTTTGGTTCGGTCCTGCAGCCCCAAACGCCCCTTCAACCTGTACAGCCTGGGTTGCTATCAAAATACATGAACTATTCTGTAAGCCTTCGACCCGAACATAGAAAACCCTACAGTTCCACACCTTTGCAACCTTCAAGAAAAGTATACATCCCAAACCAACTATATGCAGCCTGCCAGAAAAGTATGCATCCCAAATCAACTCAGAGACTCAGAGAGGCCTCTAAAAGCCTAACCCAACGGCCACCCTTAGATTTTGGGTCATACCCCCATCTACTAGCAGATCTTCCCAGACGCCCTGGGTCCTAAACCTTCAACTCGAAGCCCCTGGAACGAAAAGCTTACCGGACATACACCCTAAACCCTAAACCCCGAACCCTAAACCCTAAACCCCTAAGCCCTAAACCCCGAAAACAAAAAGCAAAGGCTAAAGCCTAAACCGGTACTGGAATCCTGCAGAGGCACCCCAAAATGAGGAAGCATGCAAGGTCGGCAAGCAGATTCACTCCAACAAAGCCCTAGAGCCTTCAAGGAAGTCTCAAAGACCCCAAACCCAAAAGCCATGGACCTGAACCCTACCCCAAGCTTTAAAGCCCTTGAAGGAAGTTTCAAAAAGCCCAAACCCCAAGCCCTGTCAAAGAATCCTTAAAAGGCGCCAACCGAGACTGCCTTCGAATGTGCAGAGACGTGGATCGACCGGCCGGGGCCCAAGAGCTCCAAGAACCTGATTGGGCTCTAGTACTTGGGGGGTCGGGGGACTTAGTAAGTAGTTAGTAAGTAGACTTATAAGTACCCTGTATGGAAACAAAATGGGGTTATGCTACTTATAAGTCCCGAAAATAAGTTACTAAGTCCCCCGACCCTCCAAGTAGGGCCCTAAACCCTAGGGTTAGGGCTTAGGGTTTAAGGGTTTAGGGTGTATTTAGGGCCTAGGGCTTTCGGGCTAGGGCTTAAGGCTCAAGGGTTTAGGGTTTGGGCTTTAGGGGTTTAGGGTTTAGGGAGGGGTTTAGGGTTTGAGAGTTCCAAGTTAGCATGGTTTAGGGTTTAGAGTTCTGCTTGCTGTATGAGCCTCGAAGCTGTGTATCCTGCATGGCGGTATAATATAGGAGCCTCAATAACTGCCATCGCTATTTTGGGGTCCTTATTGTAGTTCTAGTATAAGGGGCCCCAAAGCCCTATTCTAATTACTAAGGCCCCCATTTTACCGGAGTACACCGGATGCTCTGAATCTCGAGCCTTTGACCGCGGTTCCACCACAGCTACTTCGAGGACTAGATTCGGGGACGGCCGATGTAGCGGCCACGATACTAAAAAAGGTGATACCATAAGGTTGCTGAAAACAGTACCCTAAGGAAATACGGACTACTTGGACCCTTAGGGTTAGGGTTCAGGGTTTAAGGTTCAGCGTTTGGGGACCTTATTGTAGTTTATCGTCCTGCAGCTCTCCTCAAAGCCCCCAGTCCAAAAGTTGAGACTTCTTTTGTCGATTCGGAGCCTTTGGACTGCGAAGTGTAGTTGCGGAAGATGTTGCAGATATGTGTGTTATGCTTAAACCATGCTAGAACCTTATGGGAACCCCCTAAAGAACCCTGATGGAGCCTTTTCTGAAGCGAGCGAAAGAGCTCAGCCGCTAGCCGCGCCTGCAATCCAAACGACAGCCCCAGCCTTAAGCTAACCTACTATAGCCCTAAACCCTAAACCCTAAACCCTAAACCCTAAACCGTATAGAGCATCTCAACACACAGGTTACCGTCGCTTCAGGCCCTTCGTGTACAACCCATAATCTTCAAGCCTAAGCCCTATAAACCCTAAGTAGCTCGAAGCCCTAAAGCCTGAAACCCTAAACCCAAAAGCAATTAAACCCACAAGTAAGCCCTGACCCCCCAAACCTAAATCCTAAACCCCGAAGCCCCAAGCCCGTAAAGAACGAAAGGCTGGAGTCAGCGGATTCCGGGAACGTTGCCCAGGCCCGGTCAATTGCTTCTTGAACCCTTAAACCCTAAATAGCCTGCTCCATTCCACCATAACCTGTTTTTGTAGGTTCGGTTTTTTTGAGAAACCTAGTATGGGCTTTATAGGGGCTTTACAAACAAGTAGGTCTTGGCGGCTCAACGTAAAGACTCAAGCTTACAGAGGATGTGGGGTTCGGGGTTTAGGGTTTGTAGAGGGTTTAGGGTTCAGGGTTTATGGGCAAGCTTACAAGATCTGGGGAGTTGGTAAGTAACAGTTTAGGGTTTAGGGTAATATGAACATAACATAAGTGTATCCACCCATGAAGCTTCCAGAAGGTCACCCGAGTCCTCTCGTTTGACGGGCTTGATGGTATTTACCTGGTTTGGATCCGCTTGTTTGCAGTGAATATAAGGGATCGTGCTTTGTTCTGAAACTACCGCTTCGTAGACCCTAAGGAAAAGCCTGCAGTGCTCAGGGTTTAGAGTGGGTTACAGGGTTTAGGTACATCTGGTGCTGAGTTTACCAACAGCTTTGGGTTTAAGCGTTGAACCTCGAAGAGTTCCCATCGTCGAGAACAAGTTGCAGCTGAAATTAGATGCCCACGCAGAAAAGTATGGCGACCTCGACTGTGTGCTAAGTTTCTCTTGCTTTGGTAGATGCTGTGCCATGATGTTTTGCCTCGCGATGACGGTCGGAACAACTTACTTGGAGGGTCGGGGGACTTAGTAACTGGATATTTTAGGGACAAAAAGTACCATAACCCCAATGAGGGTCCCTTTTAGGGTACTTATAAGTCTACTTACTAACTACTTACTAAGTCCCCCGACCCCGCAAGTAGTACTTCGTGAGTTTTCGGAATATTTCAAAGGGGAAAAGGAGGGACCCTTAATGGGGACCTCTACCCTAAAATGGGCTATATAATGGGTATATAATAGCTATATTCAGGGTATATACCTAGGGGTCCTTATTATAAGGGTCCCTCCTTTTACCCTTGGATCTAAAGCAACACGACCCTTGGGTACGGCCCCCTCTCAGTAACAGTTGAAAAATATTCATAGTATAGATAATATTAGGAGCTTAATCGTAGCCTCATTATAGGAACAACTTAGTGCTTTGTGAGTTTGTCGGAAAAGAAAAAAGTCCGACTGGGCCCCTGCAATGCGAGGCTTTACGGCTTCCGTGTAAGTTTCGACGCGGCCATTCCGAAATTACCCCTGAGTTGCAACCGAAGTGCCTAAGCCCGGCTTCAACTTAGGGTTTTAGGGTTTAGGGTTTAGGATGAAATGAGTTGCAACCGAAGTGCCTAAACCCGATTTCAACGAAGTAGGGTTGTCGCTGAGCTAAGTGCATCTATAGCTACTTATAGCCCTGTTAGGGCACTTATGTAATCGTACCTGAAGCTTCCCAAGAACCGGACCTGTGTTCACGTAATATATGGGCTTCAACATGCAATAGTAAGAATAGGGTTTTGGGGTATATTCTACTGTAAATCAAGATCACGCGCATGACGCATGAAGCATGTCATGTCAAAACATCATCTGTACCCACTTCATTTCTTCAAGCTGTCCGCCAGGCACAGCAGTTATGAGCCGTAAAATAGGGGCCGCAATAATCAGAATAGGTTTGGGGTATACTATACTACAACTATAGAGAGGAACCCTCCAAATAGTACAGGTAATTATTAAGGCTTCTATAGCGGAATCGGAAACCTGCCTCGGCTGGGTGCCCAATAAACCTTCAGGTGAACGTACGAGTCTCGCACGACATGTCCCTTACATCCAAAAGTTGTGGGTCCTAAAGTATATATAGTCGGCCAGGCCGTGCGGTGTGCTTTGGCCTTCAAGCGTCCCGCCAGCCTTGGCAGGGGTTTATTAACCGTGCACGGTCCATTGTTGTAGAGTCTGCGTTTTTGCTTGCAGCCGGGTTACTATAGGGGCCCAATACTATTTTGGGGGTTCCTTACCTCAGTTATAGTAATTACAATGGGCCCCAAAAACCCTCTTCCAAACGCACAGCCCTCATATTCACACCCCAATCCCCAGTCTGATTGTTTAGACCTTTGCATAAGCCGGAACCATAGGACCGTCGTCACACTACAGCGCACTTTGCGACGTTATACAATTTCTATAGCATCATCTCATACCCTAGCCTAGTACTCATATACGATGCTTTGGAGCCCAAGTATATGTTCTATGGGTACATGGACCGTCAGGGATAAGCAGAAAAGCATAGGGCTCTGTGAAGATCCCCTCCACCTTTCCTGTTCGGATGTCAGCTTGATGCCCAAGGAGACCCCTAAACCCTAAACCCACAAACTCCTAACCCCTAAGCCCCTGAACCCCCAAACCCTTAAATCCTAAACTAAAGCCCTAAACCCCTGAACCCCTAAACCCCTAAACCCTAAACCCCTACACCCCTAAAGCCCTGCAGCCCTAAAGCCCTAGGGACCCCAGGAGGACATAAGCTTGAGCATCTTGCAGAGATGTCCCTGCCTTGTTGTTGCTTCTGTCCTTTCTTGGGGGGGCCTATAGAGTAAGGAATCATAATCCACTAGATTATCTGGGGTTCAGGGTTTAGGGTTCAGGACCCTACAGAGTAAGGAACCCTAATCCACTAGATTCTCTGGGGTCCAGATGCGGTTCAAGCTTAGCTGTTCGGACTGCGATTTGCAAAAAGATGAGCTGGCAAGCACCCTAAACCCTAAACCCTAAACCCTAAACCCTAAACCCTAAACCCTAAACCCTAAACCCCTAAACCCTAAAACCCCCCAAGAGCCATGAAGCCAGGAGGCCCCGAAAGGTGCGGGGGTTAAAACCTTAGGTTTCGGGTTCGGGGTGTAGAAGGACTGTTTTTCAGAGGTGCGAATCTGCGTACACTGTTTTATGGAGTGCCCTTAACTTAGGACCCCTTGTTGAGCACTTGCATATGACAAAAATGATGTGATGCCTTATGATGGGGATCCAAAGTGGGACGCTAGTTTAGAGAGCACCTAGTCGGGATAGTATCGGGGGAGCCCCAAGCCCACGAGTCTTGAATGCCCCCTTTGGCTTGCAATCAGGAGCTGTGATGAGATTCACATCATCTCATCGGGTACTTGCTACTTGGCCCTGAAACCCTAAACCCCAAACCCTAAACCCCAAACTTGAACCCAAAACCCTAAACCCCAAACTTAAACCCTAAACCCCAAACTTAAACCCTAAACCCCAAACTTAAACCCTAAACCCCAAACTTAAACCCTAAACCCCAAACTTAAACCCTAAACCCCAAACCTTCAAACCCCAACAGAGGGTCCAGGTGAATGTCTCGAGCTCCGGGTCTCCAACCCCAATTTGGGACATGGGTTGCTGGGATCTTACTTGGAGGGTCTTTAGGGGACTTAGTAACTACAAGGGGTTCCTGAAGGGCCCCTTTAAAGGGATCTATAGGGATTCTATAAGGGTATAGGGTTCAGGGTTTAGGGGACTTAGTAACTGGTTATTTTAGGGACTTATGACTACCATAACCCCAATTAAGGTCCCTTTTATGGTACTTATAAGTCTACTTACTAGCTACTTACTAAGTCCCCCGACCCCCCCAAGTGGGATCTTAAGCGCCACATTTGAATACGTTGTTCGGACCTGTTCCATCATGAAATATTAGTAATTCATTGCACGCCCCTAGTTTTTAGACAGTTAGCTATATTACAATATCCCCGGCTCGATGCTCAAATTGATTAAGTAGCTGCTTCGAGCTGATTGCCTTGGGTCCTGTCGTCATGTCTCAGCCTCAAGACCTGCATTCCAAAGCCAAAAACCTGAATTCTCGTCCAACGCTTAAACCCTACAGTCCAAAACTTACATCCTACTTGGAGGGTCGGGGGACTTAGTAAGTAGTTAGTAAGTAGACTTAGAAGTATCCTAAAGGCACCTTAATTGGGGTTATAAAACTTATAAGTCCCTAGAATAACCAGCTACTAAGTCCCCCGACCCTCCAAGTAAGCACTACAACGTGTGGGTAGCTCGCTGTTTGTATCTCCGGCAGCTTCTGCTGGCAGAGGGAGACGTCTCGGACGAACGCCTGGAGGCATGCCGCACTCTTTGCCTCATTTGGAGGGCACTGCCTGTGTACCGTCTGAGACAAATCAGACTACTTCTTCTCCAAATCCCGGCGTGGACGTGACTGGGGTGAGTTTCTCACCAGTCTCGTAGGCTGTGTGGTCGGGCGAGGTTCTCCCCGCCATGAAGACCAAAACAGTTACCTGCGAGTGCTGTGGCATCGGCTGGGCTTGCCGCGTTGCTTTCGGCCGTTGCGTAAGACAGCGGATGGATCCAAAAGTCACAGAAGAAGTGGTACCCTGCGTGCTGGTACTGTGGAGGCCCTTGGAAAGCCCAGCAGCGCGCCGTCAAAGCAGATCCCGGCGAAGACTGGGACTGGTGCAGTCTTCGGCTGACAGGTTTAGGGTTGCGGATTTCAGGTGCAGGCTACCTTTAGATGGGTTTGCTGGTAAGTTCTACACTGTTTGTGGGGGGTTTGAAAGTTGCCATACTGGTGTTGACACCAGGACTCCACGACAAGTCGGTTCTGGAAATATGTGGGCATTAACAACTAGAATTTGGTTTGGGGGTTTGTCTAGGATGCGAATCACCCAGGCCCCCAAACCCTAAACAGTAAGGAATTTTTTGTAAGATAGTATACGGGTAGTTCTCTAGATGATTAAAGTCCTGTCTCTTGTTCAGGGCTCAGTACAGCAACTTATTAGGCTCCTTTTGCAATACAAGCCACCCTGTGAATTCCGTTCTAAACCCCTTAGTGACACAAGCAAACATGACTCCAATCATGGTTCCTTCAGATTACCGTTGCGATTCCTTTCCGTAAGCTGATCCCGATTAAACTCCATAACCCGATAGAGCCCTCATGAACAAGCCTCTCATATCCTCTAGAAAATCAATTTCACAATCTGCCAAAGAATGCACGAATACACAGTCCTTTAATGCCTGAAGAACTCGAAGCTCTAATTCCCTGTAAATTCCTGCGTCCTTGCTGAACAACACTACAAACAGACCGAAACCAACAACCTTGAAGGGTCGGGGGACTTAGTAACTGGTTATTTTAGGGACTTATAAGTACCATAACCCCAATTAAGGTGCCTTTTAGGATACTTCTAAGTCTACTTATTCACTACTTACTAAGTCCCCCGACCCCCCAAGACCTGAAAAGCCAAGTCCTCAAAGGTTTCCGACCGGTCGAGCACGATCATTTGCTGTCGAGCCTCCGCACTTTGGCTCTTGCGAAGATGGTTTAGGGGTGACAATAGGAATATGGTTGAGGGTTTGGGGTTATAGGCTGTTACTTTAGTTTATCGTTCACTGTGTAAGGGCAGTGGATTTGGGATTGGACTAGGATGCCCGGTAGTACCCTTATTCCCTTTTTGTAGTCCTAGGTTCCTTATAAGTTACCCAATACCAACAAGGGAGCCCTTCCTATTCCTAGGTTACTGGGCATCCTGGTTGAGGGTCAGGGTTTAGTAAGGGCTTTTGCGGCTCAGGGGCGTTGGTTTAGGGTTTACGGTGTAGGGTTTAGGGTTGGGTTCGCTTTTGCAGTGTTGGCGTCACTTTGCTTTCGATTGTTTGGTGCGTTTACTGATTTTTAGGATCGTTCTAGGGGGTTGCGTGTGTGGACCGCGAGTTGTAGAAGACATGTTCCGAGGCTCCTTATAGGGTTTAGGGGTTTAGGGTTTAGGGTTTAGGGTTTAAAACCCCAAAATCCCCAAAGCATGCGCCATAAACCTTGATTCCTTCAGCCACGTCCCATCAAGTATCGGTGTCTGAGAAATTAGTCATAGCCGCCCTTGTAGTCCCTCTTTGATGTTGCGATGTAACAAATACCCAAAACCCATTCTAACTATGGGGGCCGTCTTAGTGGGTTTTGCACGGCTAGCTTGCACAGGAGGGTTCATGGGTTACTAGCTTTGCGAACGTTGTGTATGTTGTTTGAATTTCCAAGACGTACACAGGTTCTCTCAGGGCTTTGGTAGTAAAGGCGCTGTTCAGGATTAGTTCATGAGAGTTCAAGGGTAAGTTGTGGGGCTAGCAGTGATTGTCATCATGCAAATTGACGGGCGATACTCCAAACCCCAAGCCCTCAACACCGTCCTTGTTAACTCCTTCAGAGGTGTAGTTCTTCAAATTAGGGTCCCTTTTAAGGCCCCCAAAATAGCACGGCACGCTTATAAAAGGACCAAATTAAGGAGTGCCCAGTTGGCCTTCCAAGATCACTTACATAATCTCCGTCAAGCCGTTATTTACATCGATAGAATAGAAGCCGAAGTTTCATACAATTATTCCTTAGGGTTTAGGGTTCCTTACTGTAGTTATACCCCTCTGCAAATCTCAACTGCGCTAAGCCCAACACAAGACTCCAGTATCCCTTACTTCAAGCATCCGTCGTCGAGCATCGCTGGAGTATAGTTAGTTGAACAAGCTCTGAACCTTTATAACCCGTCTGAACCCCCCCCCCCCCCTCCGCCTCATCCAAAAAAGGGGTTCGACCTAACCCTGCACCCAAACCCTAAACCTTACCTCAAATCTTAAACTCCTGAATCCTAAACCCGTAGACCCTCGACCCTCAGCACCCTAAATTCTCAACCCCCTAAACCCCAAACTCTTAGACCCTAAACCCCTGAAGAACCCTAACCCCTAAACCCCAAAATCCTAAACCCCTACAACCCTAAACCCCTAAAACCTTCAAGCCCTAAACCCCAAACTCTTAGACCCTCGATCCCTGATCCCTAGGATGCCCAGTAGTACCCTTATTCCCTTTTTGTAGTCCTAGGTTCGTTGTAAAGTTACTCAGTACCAAAAAGGGAGCCCTTCTTATTCCTAGGTTACTGGGCACCCTAAACCCTAAACCTCTAATCCCTAAAACCCTAAACCCCTAAACCCCTAAAACCCAGGTTATCTGAACAAGAGGGAGGTCGCCATCCACACCTCAGGTGGGATCGGGAGATTTGTGTTTCCGGGTTGAGGTTTTAGGGTTTAGGGTTTAGGGGTTTAGGGGTTTAGGGTTGAGGGGTTCAGGGTTTAGGGTTCGGGGGTTGAGGTTTATGTTGTTGTTCTCTGAAGTTTCGGGCTTTTAGGTTATTTGGTAGTTACTCTGGTTTCCAGGGCGAGGGTTGTAGACGAGTAGAGTTTAGAGTTTTGTGGCAGGGTTTTCATGACGGGCCTTACGGTTGATGATATAAACCCTGCATGACCCATAATAAGGAATATACCATAATCCCCATAGTTTAGGGTCCTTAAGGTAATGCAGGATTTATATCATCAACCGCAGTTTAAAGCAGGGTTCCAGCGTGCTCAGAGTCCAGGTCAGCGGTTTGCATCTAGGACGGCAGAGTTTGGGGTTGTGGGTTTAGCGATCCCCAAGCCCTTAGCCCAATTTTGGTCTTCGGGGTTTAGAGTGCTGCTGGTCGAGACGGTCCCCTTCACTACCTCAAGAAGTAAAAGAAGAAGATGCTCAACATGGCAATGCTCCGGAGCAGTCGCAGCACTTGGCAAAACCAGTGGCAGCAGGTCCTGACAAAGGTGAGGCCGCAGATGACACAGATTCCATCAACCTCGTCAGTCCAGCGGACAACCCGGAGTCCCGTGAGTCCCAGGAGTCCCGCGAGTCCCAGAACAAGATGGGGTTCCTGCGTTCAGGCTATCGGTATTGAGATTCCAGAGGACTCATTGAAGAGCCAGATGGCCGTCCACTCTGCTGATGTTGAGATGTCGGTGCTCTGCTTTTAGACCCTGGACTCTTTATAAAGTCTTAACACATGCAGAGATCCCAATATCCCTTGATTAAGGACAATACTTTAAATCATATTATTGCGGCCTCTTAATTGAAGGTATATTCCTTAATTACGGTGTAGTGGGATCTCTGGGCCGGAGCCCTGATCCAGAAACCCATGTAACACATATGGGTGGTTGTCAAAATTATGATCCCTTTTTGGGTCCTCATCATAATACGGCACCTAATATTTAGAGTATCGAAAAAGGGACCCTAATTTTGACAACCACCCATATGTAATATGAGGCCAAAGCATATGCTGTTTGGGCACATGGACCCTTAAACCGGAGATCCGATAGAAACCCCCTAAACCCTAAATCTTAAACCACATCCCTTCACGTAGGATGAATCCTTGATGAAACGCCACAACCGCCGTGCAAGCAACGCAGCAGAAACCTCCAGAGCCCGGGTTTAGGGTATAGGGTTTCAGGGTTCAGGGGTTTAGGGTTTAGGGTTTAGGGGTTTAGGGTTTAGGGTTTAGGGGTTTAGGGGTTTAGGGTAAGGCCCTGGCATCTGCAGCTGTGTTGGAAGGCGTCGACCCAAATCCACACAGCGAGCGTTTGCTGAGGATGCTGGGTTTCGAGGGTTTTCTGGTTCCCCAAGAGGTTTTTTCTTACGATAAGCCCTACCCTGCACAAAAGTAGGTTTTGGTCGGCTAAGTACTCAAAGGTAGTATGTTTTGAGAAAGTATCCCTCCATAACAGTACCCAGGACCCCTAGGATGCCCAGTAGTACCCTTATTCCCTTTTTGTAGTCCTAGGTTCCTTATAAAGTTACCCAATACCAAAAAGAGAGGCCTTTTTATTCTTAGGTTACTGGGTATCCTGGTATATTAACCCCCTATATTATAGAACCCTACTATAGATCCCTTATAGACCCCTTTAAGGAGCCCTATAGATCCCTTATAGGTTACTGGGTATCCTAGACCCTGTGGGGTCTGAAGACATGAACGGCGTGAAGCGGGTTCAGCTTGGAGGGCCGGGGGACTGAGTAACTATAAGGGGTTCCTTAAGGGTCCCCTTTAAAGGGATCTTAGGGATTCTGTAAGGGTTTAGGGTTTAGGGTTTAGGGGACGTAGTAACTGTTTTTTTTAGGGACGTCTAAGTACCATAACCCCAATTAGGGTCTGTTTTAGGGTACTTATAAGTGTACTTACTAGCTACTCATAAAGTCCCCCGACCTACCAAGAGGGCTTACCACCCAAAGTTTCGAAGTTCAGGTCCTCAAAGATTTTCAAGCACTTGTAGCTTGCAGGGCTTCGAGGTCGTATGAGGTTTCGGAACTTAGATTCTGGAAATCTCAAGTGGCGTCATTTCAGGACTGCTATACGGCTTAAGTATGCCGGGTTTCAGGCTTAGTTGGGCACTCTCTCCAGAAGTGCCCAAGAGCATGGACTTTCCAGTGATACCGGTGTATGAAGGCTTGCAGAACCTACCGTGGACGACAGATCCTTGAACAGTTTCGCGAAGCTCAGCAATACGGTTCTCGGAGAAATGGTTCATTTCTCTGCAGGAGGTGGGATGTGTCTCGACCTCTTGACTATTGGAGTCTCTGCGATGTTGACTGAGATGGTGAACGCACGTTCCAACAGTCTCTTAGGGTGTTCCCTAGGGTCCTTGTAACCCCCAGCCCCAGCCTAACCCCCAAACCCCAAACCGCAAAGCCTCAGAACCAGAAACCCAACCCATAGTCTGGCTTGCAAGTGTTCCTTGTGTGGTTATTTGGCTTTGTGGTTAGGCTCGTAAGCCAGAAGCAAAGTAACACAATGCAGACTACAGCTTCAGTTCCTGCAGGAATATTGCGGAGAGCAACCATGGGGACTTTACCTTGAAGTTCTTCAGAGATCAAGGTGCTCACTGGGTTTAGGGTTTAGGGTTTAGGGTTTAGGGTTCCCTGTCAAACCGAGGAGCAAGGGGTTCAAGATAGGCTTTAACTACCCAAAGGCCCCCAAGTAGTTCCTTTTCGGGGTTCGAATATAGAATCCTACAAGGTAATCCCAAACAAGCACTTCTCTGGGGCCTCTGGGTAGGGTCATAGCTGCGATAACTAGGTTTTACTGCAAACATTACCCTGCATATTAGCTTTCTGAGTTCCATGATCCTTCCCGCAGAAAGGATGTTTGAACGGCTGTGGAACTCTCGGTGTGGCCATTTTCAGGTCTGAGCTGGTACAATCCCATGCATCTACAACCCCATCCCTGGGGCTCAAGGAAGGGTTTAGGCTTTAGCGATGTGGGTTTAGGCCTGAGGGTTTACAGGGCCTGGTATAGGGTTTGGGCGTGGGGCTTTGGGTTTGGGGCTCATGGGGTCGAGGGGCAGCATGTTGCCCAGAGATCCCAATACCCCTTAATTAAGGAAAATACTTTAAATCATAATATTCCGGCCTCTATAATTTAAGGTATGTTCCTTGATGAAGGTGTATTGGGATCTCTGGGTGCACGGTTTTACGCAGGAGGGCAAAGTCGTGGTATTTGCAAGCCATCAAACCCCAACCTCTACACCCTGAGCCCGATCCCCTAAACCTGAAGCTGAAGCGCTTTACAGGAGCCCTTGCAAGGAAACCCCTTCTAGTTATTGAGCCCCCTGTATTTCACCCGAAACCCTAAACCCTAAACCCTAAACCCCAGACCATAAACCCTATAAACCCTAAACCCTGGGTAGGCATTGGCCGGGCGAATGTCATCCCAAGCAGCTTGTCAGAGGGGCTTCGGCTCTCTGATTTAGGATTTCACGGAAGGCGTAGCTTGAAGGGCTCCGTAGGATTTGCAGGGTTTAGGGTTTAGGGTCCTGAGTTTGGAGGTTCTGGGTTCAGAGATTTAGGGTTTGTCCGTTTTGAAGCAGTGCTTCAGGGTTTCATCCGGTTTTTTGACAAGTATTCTAGTAGGGGCTTTGTCGGTTTTCCGAGGACGAATTCGCTGGCTGCTATGTTACGATCCGTGTGCAGTGTTCAGGATTTGGCTATGTGGGCTTCAGGATTCAGAGCTCAAGCTTTATTTGTCTTGCAAAGGCTGGCTAAGCTCCCAAAGCTAAACCACACACCCTGAACCCGATACTGAGGGTCTAGGAGGAAACCTTCTGTATCCTCATCTCAAACTTCAGCTAGGAGTTTCTGCAGCTCGAACCCCTAGGCCTGGTGTTTAGGTTTAGCGCCTATAAGCCCCAAATCCTGAACAAGAGTCCCTGAAGCCCAAACGAACATACATTCCCGCCACGCATTGGAGATGTATTCCAGAATTGAGGGTTTGGGATCTTCGAGTTTCTAGGGAGCACTTCGATGATGTACTTTAACTATAACCCTAGTTACTAAGTCCCATGACCCTTTAAGTACGGGTCTGAGTCAGCAGTAATCATTCCGCTGTGCCCCTTCTATGTGTAGTACAATTTCCTGCTAACCCTACTCTCTGTGTTAAGGCCCCTGTCTTTTGCTCGCGAAGACATATGTGCAAGCCCATAAAGACCTCCAGTAGTTAACAGTTCTATCATTCTATCCATCACTTGTCCGAATTAGATTTGCTTACTAGGCTCGAGCAAACCTCTTCATACTATTGCCTAGTGCGGAGGCACCAGCATGAGCGTCGTCGGGTCACCTAACAGAAATCCTTCGCACCAACCCTACACCCGAAGCCCAATCATTCTCTGAACCCTAAACCCCCAAACCCCTGGCCCCCCCCCCCCCCCCCCCCACACCCTAAACCCCTAAACCCTCAGGCCAGAAGCCCTCTCACCCTCTAAGTCCATGGAGCCCTTATGGTCCCTGGAAGACTGATACGGTTTTTAGCCGGTTTCTGGCAAGCTTCTATGACCGTTAACTGTTGTGGGGCTTAATGTCTAGAGGTCGGAAAAGTTTTCATAGTATCCCATGTGTAGTCCATACCATGCAGACTCGTACCCCGCAGTCTTTCCAATAGTGAGGCCTTTATATTTGGGGTCTCACTTTTGATTTCGCTTGACTTCTTGGACTTGAAGGGCATGCAAGAACTGCGAGTTGCACACGGCGACATGAAACCCTGAACCTAGAAGCCCAATCTGCAGTCCCCAAAGCCCTAAACCCCAAGGCAACCACGCCAAATGGACGTCATGGCGCACCATGCTCGTCAACGAAAAGAGTCGGCAGCAGCTCGATTACCATGATTTTGGGGTGGAGGTCTATTCGTTTTCGGGTGTAGGGTAGGGTTTAGGGTGTAGGGGTTCAAGGTTTAGGGCGTTAGTTTGGGAATGTTGGTTGTTGATTTTGGGGTTGAGGGTTTGGGGTTGTTGGGGTCTCCTGGAGAGATTGAGTCAAAAGCTGTACGATCATGACATTATAGCTCCTAGAGAGTCTGAATCATGAGCTGTACGACAGCATAATCTTAAACCCTAGACCATAAATCCTAAACCCTAAACCCTTAGCCTTAAAACCTAAACCCTAAACCCTACAACACTCAGCAAGGCCCCCGGATGACTTAAGGCTCAAGTCTTGGGATTCTGACAGTCAGGACTCCTGCGACTTGTTGGCCTTGGGCTCACGGGAAGGCAACAAGTTTGATTTCTCTAAAAAGCAGACCGCTGAGTGATAAACCCCCTCAGTGAAGAAGGGTATACATACATACATACATATATATATATATATATATATATATATATCAATATATTGACATTAATATTACTATGAATATTAATATGAGTATTCATATTAGGGATCTCAATCGTCAACACCCGTCGTGGAGAAGGGTTTTCTCTCGAGCATCGAACGCTGGATTTCGGGTCTTAGGTTGCAGAGGAGTCAGCCTATGTGTTTTGGGTTTCGAGTTTGGGGTTTAGGGTTTACGGTTCTGAGTTTGGGGTGTGGGGTTCCGAGTTTGGGGTTTAGGGTTTACGGTTCTGAGTTTGGGGTGTGGGGTTCCGAGTTTGGGGTTTAGAGTTTCGGGTTCTGAGTTTGGGGTGTGGGGTGGCTTCATGATGATTGCCCTTCTCGTCCCGAAGTGAGGATAATACTACTGGGAGGGGTGCACAGTCCAGGCTGGAGCGCAGAATTTTCGGTGTTCTATGCGGGCTGTGTTTGGGTTCTCCAAAGGTTTTGCTGATCCTGTGTACTGAGAGGAACCATTGCATAGCAAGAACGTACGTTTTGCTCCTTCTTCCCATTGTCTATGAAGGGTGACGACGCCTTAGGGCCCTAAACCCCTAAACTCTCAATCCCTAAACCCTAAACCCTAAGCCGTGAACCCATCGAGGTTATCCGATGCTTTCAAGAAGCAGAAGATGAGCATTGGGAGCCAGATGAAGATTTTGGACGTCATGTGGGGGCCTTGATAGTCAGACTAGTGTTCCTTTAAAGGGACCCCTAGATGGTCTATAAGGGATCTATAAGGGACTAGGGTTCCTTTAAAGGGATCCCGACAGGGTTCTCTAAAGGATCTATACGGGGCTTGTAATATAGGGGCTTTAATACTACAGGGTTCTATAAGGGATCTATAAGGGGACTATAACATAGGGGCTTTAATAATTGATTAGAATCGGCTTTGAGGGTATATTATACCATAGTTGTGATCAGGAGCCCCCAAAATAGTACAGGCTGCCGGTCCGCAATGGTTTAGGGTTGTGGTGTTTGAGCCTCCGGCAGTGTCCAAACTGCACCCCGACCCCAACAGGGACAAGCTTCAATATGGGGGTTTCAGGTTTCAAAGCACCTCCTGTTGCAAAGAAGCCTAAGCAAGTTGCCCTGAGCTTTAAGGCAGACCACAATATCCCACTGAGAGCATTAAACAACAACCTCATCAGATATAACAGCCAAGATGCGAATCTTGCTTTTGAGAATTCCCGTTGAGTTTCGGATGGTGTTGGGTGCCTATTCCGGGCTCAGGACGATGGCTCTGTGCTTTATACGGGGGCCTACGTAAATAATTACCCATGCTATTGTAGGGATTTCTTATTATAATAATTATAGTATAATGCCCACAACGATATTCTAAGTATTAAGGCGCCTCTAGTAGAGTTGTAGCAAAGATGCCAGCCTTAAGACCGATAACCTCTTGACCCGTGCAGCGCCCAGCCTTAAGACCGATAACTTGTCGACCCCTCGAGGGACCCAGCCTAAGTCAACAACTTGTTGGCCTTGGCACATATCCGTAGCAAAGTTTGACGACAGTACCGAGCTCGTTGTGACGCGGCAAAATCGTCCTTCAGCGTCCTGGATCGAAAACATTTCGACTGGCTAGTCCTGCAAACCAGCCCGCCCATTCGGCACCGGGCTGCGTGGTCGCAGCAGCGACGTTGTGTATGCAATACCGCTTCGGCTTGTCGGTGTCAAGTTCGCTTCTTTTTTGCACCAGCTGGCGGCATTTCTGTCACAACAACGATCGGCTATGCCGAGGATGACTATGCTGAGGACCTCCTACGATGCCAGCTCCTAGGATAAAGTCGAGCAGAAAGACGGCGACAAGTCGCCTCGCCCAGGTTCTAGCAGCCAAGGCGGACCTCCGCTGGGAAACCGGTGCCCGGCTTCTCGATGCGGCGAAGACTACACGTCGCGTTAGCCACATCGAGGCATTTAAGTCAAGAGCTGTGAGCAAGGACAGGTTACACCTTGTACGGCGACGGCATGAACCGATCTTGTCGAGGCCAGAGAAGACATCATCCTTCATTCCACTGCAAGCCGTAGCCCAGGCCTCCGGCGTCGACTTGATCATCTCGGACAGCACCCTCTGCGCCGTGAGCCCGAAGGCACCTGTGCATAGCAACGTCCGCACCGCAGAAGCCCGAAAGAAGCCACCTCAATTGTCAGGAGCGGGATTATGCCGGCAAAGTCGCCGCGGACACACTCTTCCCAGTGCCGGTGGCTCCGGCGTGGGGAAGTAGCTTCGTCGGCGGCGGTTTCAAAAACCACCTGCTGCGTTGGCCACCACCTCGGCGTGGATGCGTCAAAGCAGTGACACTTAATTGGCGGTGGCCGAGGTGGGGCGCTTGGCGAAAGCTGCCGGAGAAACCGCAGCCCGTCACACTCCTGCTGTGCGCAGGCTCCTTCCCAAATAATTTTGATGCGAGTGGAACACGCATCTACTGCAGGGAACGACATCGGTGCCGACGTGCCTCTGCAGGACCTGGACGCGGCCATTGCCGACTTCCGAGAGGCAAGCGTCAGCTCGGAGCTTTCTTCCAAGCCTACTGCAGACGGTGCAGGCCTGCGCCAACTGGGAGTATCGGGTGGTCTTGGTAGACGTCGTTGAATTACGATGAGGAGCCTTGTGGAAGAAATCTTAACATCCGTGTCATGATTCCGTAGGGCTGCTCATCTAGGTAGGGCTTTTGGACAGTTTTTCCCCTTATCTGGCTTCAGAGGGTCTTGGTTACTAATATTTGTCAAAAGCTTTAAAAGCTTCACCTAGTCATGAAAAGACCTTCTTCTGATTGATATGGCCCCTAGGCGAGGGCTGCAGAGGATGATATGGGGTTAAGGGCCTGAGGGTTGCATAATGGTTTAGGGTTTAGGGTGAAGCATTTGTCATCATATCCCCGTGTAGTTCTGACATGTTTTCTTATACTTTACATCGAAGCCCACTCTAGCTGTTAAGGTCGTATGTTGGAATTCCATAGAGTTGGGGCTTTTTGGTTTTTGGGTCGAGGGTGTGCGGATATTGGGTCGTCGGATAAGTGTACTGTCGTTTCCTCATCATGCCCCAGGGACCGGGTATGATTTCTTAAGGCCGGGCATCATGTGGATAGTATTATGGCGGGGCCGTAAGGTTCAGAACAGTTTTTTTGGGATAAACTATAAGTGATTCTAGCAAGGAACACCGAACAAAGTATTACAAAACATTTGGGTTCTACATTACTACAGATGTCTCCGGTGTCTGAAGATCATCTGATGGTCCATATTTCACTCAACGCTTACACCCCATTCCTCGCCTATACCCTACACCCTATCCTTAGGGGAAGCCCTAGAAGGAGCTCCTGCTGCGATAACTACCGCAACCCTAAACCCTAGACCCTAAACCCCTAAACCCTAAACCCTAAACCAAATCAGTTCCGCGTCAAAACCCTGAGCCTCGCAAAAGCCGGTCTAGTGCAATATGGCTCGGTTAAGGTTAGGATAGGGTTCCTTTGAAGGGATCTTTAAAGGGTTCTAGAAGGGATCTATAAGGGGTCTATAATACAGGGCCGTAAGAATTAGAATAGGGCTTTAGGGGGTACAGCAAAGCGAACATTACAGTCATTGCAGTCTCTACGTACTTCCGACGAACGTACAAGTCGTCCGTGTAGCTGACATTCAACCGAAGACTTTGCCAACAAAGCCTAAACCGGGGAGCAAATCCTTAACCTTACAAGTGAGGCTGCGGGAGGAGAACCAGTTCGAAATAGCCTGGCGCCAGGCACGATCTAGGGGCTCTAAGGGCGTTTTGAGGTTAATTATAGGGGCCTGGATGACTTCCAATACTTTTTTGGCGTTCTTTATTATTCCTTCCGAAGCGTTACATTACTATAGTATAATAATGGGCACCAAAAGCATATTCTACTATTGAGGCCCCTATAGTAAGGTGGCTTGGGGCTTTTAGGGCAGAGGGTGTAGGGGTTAGTAGGGTCAAGGGATGTACCAGTTCATGTTCTCGGATTTTGTTGAGCTAAAAGTGGGTAGCATGGGAGTGATGCATCCACATGGCTTTCAAGGACTCTGCTTCAAGGGGTCAGAGGTCGGAAGTTTGTACCTGGGGTAAGGTGTGCGATCAACGGTTCAGGTTGGCGAGGGGTGATGTGGGGGAGGGGCTTTTACAATTAGAAAAGGGCTTGGGGGAATTGCTATGTTTACTAATGATAATAGGAATGCTGCAGGATGGGTTTTGGCAATTATTCAGATCCTACATTAGCCCTAGGGCCCTATAGGGTCTGTGGCCAGAGCCGGGCGTTTCAGGGTGCTGGTTTCGGATCACGGATCGTTTTGCCAGTATTTCTTGTCAGTAAGATGCTCATCACCGCATGTTTGGTTTTGAAGCATACGCATACTGTAGGTGCCGTTTATACTCTCACTAACCGGGTTTGGGACAATTGATGTTATGCCAATCTTCAGGAACCCCACCAAAGACCATGCTACAAGTTATTCAGGCCACTATATGGATAGTTGTCAAAATTAGGGACCCTTTTTGGGTCCGTACTATAATACGGCAACTAATGTCTAGGGTACCCAAAAAGGGCCCATAATTTTGACAACCACCCATATGATCAGGGAGCAAGTGTTACTGATTCCTCAGGCCCGCACACATCAGATCCCTAATTTCCAAATCATCCCCAACCCCTATAGGGTTTAGGGTTTAGGTTTAGGGTTGGGCACCATAGAGGTCTGAACCACTAGAAACTGTGTCCTGCGTAGTCTGTACACAGTGTTACCAAGTTATACCATCAGAACACTCGAGGCCCAAAGCCCCATTAACTACTAAGGCCCCTACATGTGCCGTTTGTTTGTACATCGGTGCAATTACTCCACCCTGAACATAAGAGGTTGCCACACTGTGTGGGGAAACGATCTACGATAGGAGCCAAAATATGTTCCAATACTATCTTGGGGATTCCTTGATGATAACTATAGCATAAAGGGACCCAAAACCCTATTCTACTTATTCAAGTCCCCATATTGGACCCACAACTCCTACGGCCAGGAGTGGAGCTGCGCGAAAAAGCTGCTGGAGCGCGTCCGGGCCTCATCCACAGGGAGGTGTCATCGGACTGGGCTTTTCAAGGGCGGGCGGGCTTTCGACATATTGTTAAGGGACATGCAAGGGATTCAGGGATTCTTGGTTTCAGGATTATGGATTTGCGGCCTCTGTGGGGCATGGAGACCAGGAGTAAGTTGGCAGGGTTCCAGGGCGGGAATTTGCCAGGAAAGCTATGCATAGGGCCTAGGGGCTGCAGGAACAATGTGACACAGATCTAGGAGCCCAGTGAGTATAGCTCAGAAACATAGACTTGCAACTTAGAGAATCGCAGAGCGATAAGGTTATCTGTAATCTTGTTTCGTATCCAAGTTCGCGGAGACTTGATGTACCTATCGAGTATCGAGGTTCCGATATGACAGGGTTGAGGGTTCGTAGCGTTGGGCGTAGGGTGCAGGATTTCGGGCTTCAGTAGCGGGATTGCAGATGAGCTTCGAGATCCTGCGGAGAAAGAGCCTAGCGGAGTTCTATGATCCCGAGACCTTAGGACCGTAGGAAGCCGCCAGAAATTCAGTCTTCCATCGCGCCCCAAATCAGACAGTCAAACGCCTTAAGCTCTCGTTAACCCGAACGCCGCCCTGGCGCCCGGCCGTCCCAATCAGGGCTGGGAAAGTTTTACATGTCAAGAGTCCTGAAAGACAGAAGTACGTTTAAGTTTATAGGGTTTATTGTTTAATTTCTTAGTGGCTGAGTAGATTACCTTTAACCTCTTGGGGTTTCTTTTTCCTAGCCGACTTGAAAAGGTTAACCTTTGCTGGGCTAGATTACTCAGCCCCTAGCAATTTATGTCAGATAATATTTCAGCCACCTCCATTTAAGAGATACCTTCCGGCGCACGAGTGCCTTTCTTAAGGCTTGTTGTTTTTGGGGCCATGGTTTCTTTTAATAAAGGGTTTATCGGATTTAATTCCATTGTGTTGTTGGTGGGGGGTTCTTTTTCATTACAGGGTGCGTGCGCTCAACTTTCAGAAAGGTGGTGTTCTGCCCGCCAAGGTCCCGGAGTGTCCGGATCACGAGATGGCGAGGGACCCTGCATTTGAGGGGGCTTTCAGGGATTCTCGTAGGGACCTACAGGGCGCCTGTACGAATTGTGGTGCCGCAGTATAAGGCTTAAGTTGCAGAGGTAGGGTAGTGTGTCAGAGGCTCTATAAAGGTTGTATGATAATTAAGTGTTTGGAGTCTTCTTCAAACTGTGAGTTCTATGGGGGCATGCTTACCTATACTGGTTTGAGGGTTCCTTATCATCATTATAGTGTACTGGGCCCCAAAACCCTCTCCTAATTATTAAGGCACCCGACACTAACTTTGGAAAGGGTCTGCTTGGTTAGCTGTTAGGAGCCTGCCGTTTCATAGAAGGATCCCCAGAAACTTCAATATCACTTTTTTCAGGAATATACCTTCAATCTTATCCGGGATCCTACTATAATTTTAAGGTAAACTCCTTAATTATGGGATCTTGGAGTCTCTAGGTTCTGGGTTGTCGGCGGAGGGTTCAGCTATTGGGGCTTCAGTCCAGGGAACCTAGAATGGAGGTCGGAATATGATTAGTGGTGCGCCCCGCCCCTGAAGCTAAAGGCTATGTATGGATGTTCAAAACTACACCCTAAAACTGAAAAACCCTAAACCCTAAACAACCCCGATCCCTAAACCCTAAAACCCAAACCCCTGAACCTTAGAACCCTAAAGCCCTAAACGCCCGATTGGGAGTCTCAGAGCAACGCGGTCCTAAGGTGCGCGAGCTGGAGCGTGGCTGCCACTTGGATGCAGAAGAACCCGGAGAGCCCCCGGGTTTAGGGTCAAAAGGGTTTAGGGTTTAGGCTTTAAGCGGTTTAGGGTTTTAGGGTTTAGGGTTTAGTGAGGGTTTAGGTTTAGAGTTTAGGGGTTTAGGGGTTTAGGGTTTAGGGTTTAGGGCGTATACTAGCATCATGGAGTTGCGTTTCACAAGTATTATCTAGCTCCACACTAGTAGCATATGTTATATGTCCCATTTTGTGAAAGGGAGGAGAATTGATGTTAGTAGCATATATTATATGGACCTTTCGTGACAGGGAGGAGAATTCCGGCCTTCTTGCTAAGGCCAGACCTTAGGGTTTAGGGTTGCAGGATTTCGGGCTTAGGCTCGTTCAGGGCTTCAGGGCTGTAGGGGCTTGCGGGGTTTAGGGTGCAAAAGACCTTATAAACCCTCAACCGAAGACCTTTTAAAACCCGAAACCCTAAGCTGCCCCAAACCCTAATCACATCTTCACTGTGCCCACCCATGCCACTGAGCATGCTCATCACTTCGAACACTTGCGAGAGCCTGCGCCTTCCACATAGGGTTCGTGGGACTGGAAGTTCTGGAAAGGAGCTGAAAGACTACCCTGCTTAGAGGTTCATGGTACTTAGTAACTAGGGTTATAAATAAGATAACTATACTTAAAATTGGTTATATCCCCAGTTAATGTACTTATAACTGTACTTACTAAGTCCCATGAACCTCCAAGTGCTTTGTGCTCCAGGAAGCTTGCCAAGGGAATCCGGGGCCC